AAATTCATTTCTTTTCATTGAAATGAATTTTTCATTCATTCAAATGAAAAAAAAAAATTAAATGATCGTCTTTAAGATCCATCTTCAAATTGATGATGATAATGGTTTTTCATTTTTATTTTTCTATGCTGTAAACGCGGCCAACATTAGAGATAGATATGAATAATAATGATGATGATGATCATCATCATCATCATTTGATCATTGATGATGATGATTATGATATTTATACCATAAATACGGTGCACATATATAGATTTATTATTGTTATGAGATGAAATGAAATGAATAATAATCATAATCATAATAAAGCTACTTACATTGGATTTTTTTATTTTCTTTGAACATATAAAAATTAAAGTTGGGACTGTTGGTTTCAAATTTGTTTTATTTTTTTTCAAAAATTTTTCATTTTTCAATTATATAATCAAGATTTCCCAAAAAAATATCGTAGTAGTATAATATCTGAATTGTTTGTCGTTATGACCCTACTACTGACCATTATCATTATCATCCAATGACAATGATCATTGATAATGATGATGATGATTATGACCAGGAAGGTAGTAGAAAATGGAAATCTCATTTAATGATGATAATGATAAGCAAAAGATCATTATATATTTAGTTGTTTGAATTTTTTTTCCGATTCGAATCGTCAAAAGAAAAATATGTAAGAATAACTATTAACTATTTGAATATGTTATGGGATTCAATAATTATTGATAAAAACAGTGACCGAAAAAAGGGTTTCAAAATAAAATAAATTCAATTCTTTTTTCTCTTTTCATTATTTTTGTTTCTCTTCCCTAACACATTGATCATGATCTTGAACAATATTTAAAATTCCCACACACACACACACACACACTATCCCAGAAGCTTAACCATCATCATCATCATCGGAGTCATGTCATCAACATTGCTTGATAATTCATCATTAATGATCATCATCAATGATACACACACACACACAAACATAGATATTCAAAATCATATATCCAAAAACAAAAAAAACATGATGATCATCATCACTAAGATGATGAATCGATGTATGTGTGTGCATGTCATTGTCAGTGTTGTTTTCTAAGGTGTGATAAGCCATGATCCACGATGAATGATGATAATATTTCGTCGCCATATGATATTCATCATCATCGTTGAATTTTTTTTTCCATACATTCAAATGAAAACTACCATTTTTTTCATTTGTTTTTTTTACAATTTTCTTTACCTCCAAATATCAAATGAGAAAAGCGAAATTGATCAAAAAAAAAATAAATAATATAAAAAACTAGCCAACCAAATCAAGTACACATAATTTGAATCGATTGAATCGAAAAAAAAGTAAGAAATTGGAATTTTAGAATTCCAGTACGTAAAACACACATATACAGAGAGAAAGATAGAAACACGAGCCATCATCATCATGGTCATATCGTTTTTCGGCCAAAAGAGAAAAATATTTCGATGATAATAGTGTTGTTGTTGATGTAAACAGGTCTACAATCAATAAATGTTGGTGTGTGTAAGTGTGCAAACATGATGAAAAACGGCAATGGATGATGATTATTATAATGAAAATATATTTAAGAAACTACAACAGAAAAAAAGTGGAAGACCTTGTAAAATGAAAAAATATATATTCTTCTCTCTTGTTGTTGTTGTTGTTGTTCTGACCATCATTCATTCATTTTCTTTTGATATGAAAACGAAATCTTAATGATGATGATGATGTATCTTAGCTGTGTGTGTGAGATGGTTGTTTGGTTTTTTTTGGATGAATGTGTGTGTGTGTGTGTGAAAAAGAAAAACTACATTTTTAGTGTATAGAAAAAAATGATCTGATCCGTCAACTAAAATGAGATGATATCATTGCAGTTGTATTTGGCGGTAAAAAAAAATGAAATTCCAATTTTTCGGATAATTCGTCTTCATCAATAAAATATCAAATTCATACAATACAGGTTCATACACACAAGATCGGTGTGTATGAAAAAGAAAAACCATACTGATTAAATAATTTCACACGTGTTGAATATCTATATATTTAAATTTGAATTTTGAATGAATGAAAAACAAAACAAAAAAAAATTCGATTCTCTCTTGATGATTCAAGTTTTCATGATATAATTAATTATTATACCACCAATTAAAATTTTAATGTTTAATTACGAAATTTTTTATTTTCATTTCAAACACAATCCAAGTTGCTAAATCATCATCATCATCATCACCATTATTACGACATGATTATTCTCATGGAACATGACAACATGCGGATGATACAAAAAAAAAATAATTCATGTCATAATAATTGTAAATGAAATGATGATGATGACATGTGAATCCTTGGATTGTGGATATCAAAAATGTAGTTAGCCACATACATTATTCTATCTGGTGTCGATGATTATTTTTTTTTTCATTATTATAGTGTGTCTGTGTATGTGTGTGGTAATGTCAACAACATTGACGACATTGATCCACTAACTAACTAACTACAACAAAATTAGTGTCTGTTAATTACATTAATTAAACTAGTTTCGTGAATCATTTTTTTATGTTTTCGTTTCACTTAGATATCCAGAGGGAATGCGAAATAAAATAAAAAAAAAATTCATCTTTTTTTTCATATACCATATTTGTACAAAGTTTCACAACAACAACAAGTGCAACAGGTCAATTTGAATTTTGGGTACAACATATCAATTTTCGATCCATTATCGATTTTCGATCTTATATAATAACAAATATAAAATTCAAAATTCAATAATCGATAATTTTCAAATAAATATTTCTTTTATCTACTTCCAACGAAACAGAAGTGTATATCGTATTGATAACATTTATGATAACGGACGAATGAGAAAAAAAAATTCATTATCGATTAATCGATAATGAATTCATTCATTTCTGGTTCATTTTTGTCCCTTTGGTTATATGTCGTAATTCAACAGCATTCGAAATTATCAACATTATCATCGTGGACAGATTTTTCTTTTCGTTCTTTTTTTTGTTTTGCTTTTTTTTGTCGTCGTCGTCGTCGTCGTCGTCGTCGTTGTCTTTAATTACACGATCATTTTTGTCATTATTCATTATCGTCGGTTGTTGAAAAGGAAAAAAATTTCGTTAAGATTTTTTTTTCAATTCACCATTTATTCTTCTTTTTCTTCTTCATACACATCTCGATGATGACATTAAATGATTACGATGAAAATAATTAATTGTAATGAATCGAATCGTTTCGAATGGAAATAAAAAAAAAACAAACACGAAGAAAATGAAATAAAATTCGTGTCAAGTCATTAAAAAAAATAAAGATTTCATCATCATCATCATCATCATGACATTAATCATCCTGGATCATTTTCGATACATTGTGTGTCAGTGTGTGTGGTTTCCGGCTTCACATTTCCGTTCGATATTTCTATTTCTCACGAATTTCTTTTAATTCAATGATTAAAATGAAACCCAAATGGTTGATAAACAATCAATGATGATAATGATGATAATAAACGGGAATAAATTCAATTCACAAGAATTGAATTCATTTTTTTTCTGTCCTTTAAATAACCATTATCATCAAATGGACACCGTCCGTCCGTCCGTTCGTTCGTCCGGTCGATCATTCGTCATTTTCTATTTCATTATCGTTTTCGTTCAATCATTAATTTAATGGTCAGCATTTTTTCTTCTGATTCAATCAGAAAATAGTGGAAAAAAAATATTTTTTTTTCTTCGTATTATAAAATCTACATTCACATGATGCTGATGATGATGATGATAATAATGTTGTGGTTAGATTGGTAGTCGTTCTTCATGGTTTTTTCTTTCTTTTCGATAGTTTATGATGATGATGATCATCATCATGATGATGATGATGGTCCAAGTTTAGCCATCTTGATGATGATGATAATGGTGTTAAAAATTGATGATGATGATGACGATGACAACACCAGGATCCGAATATCTATGGATATTATCATCATCATCATCATCATCGTCATAATCATCATGGTTGGGAGGGGCAAAAGTTGAAAAAAAAATTCATCTAATGTTTCAAACACCATACCATCATGGATGATTTGATCGTAGTGATTATAGAGTTGTTGTTGATCCACATTTACACATTAAACATCACCACCAGCATCGTCGTCATCGTCATAATAATAAATATCGGGCGCAATATTTGATCATAATCTATATATTTCCTTTATCGTTTTCCCACTGATGATATTTCGGTACGTTTTTCGGGTTTTTCATTTCATTTCATTTTTTTTTCTCCATGTTGAACCACCACCAGATCATCATCATCATCTTCATGATCATGATGATGATGATGATGTTGGTCGATAGCAAAAGAAAAAAAAATTGGTAAAAAAAAGAAATAAGATTTTTCTTTCTTTCTATCATCATCATCATCGAGATTATTATCGAAAAATATGGATTGATATATACAGGATATATGAATGGTTCGTTTTTTTTCAAACATTGGTTAAATTTTTCCAATGTTTTTCATCTCAAACGTGTGTGTGTGTGTGTCTGTGTCTGTGTGTATGGCCAAAGATCATGATGATGATGATGATGATGTTTTCGATGATGATGATGATGATGTTGATATCGACAACAAAAGAAAAAAAGAAAAAACTTCACGAAATAAATAAAAAAAAAAAAATGAAAGATTTTCATTGATGGACGACACGAAATTTTCGTTTTGTTATTAATGTTTTATGATGATGATGATGTTGATGGTTGATGATGGTGTAAATTAGAATGCATGAAATAATAATTATCATCATCATCATCATATATGGTATATATTTCTCATTTATTGATGTCTTTCTTGTTCCTTTTTGTGTTTGTGTGTGTTCTATTGTTTATTTGAAAGCGGAAATGGAAACCAAACACACATTTTGATGCACCACGTTTTTTTAAAAAAAATTTTAATTACCGAATTTCATCTAATTTTTTTTCATTTTGTTTTCTCTCATTCACAGGCAAACGATGGAAATCATTATCACATCAAGAACGTCGACCATTCGTTGAAGAAGCTGAAAGGCTACGCGTACAACATATGCAAGATCATCCAAATTATAAATATAGACCTCGTAGAAAAAAGAATTGTAAACGTAGTGCCGTTACCGCAAACACTACGACAATTACGTCGCCAAAATCTACGACAACAACATCAGCAAATCGTAATAATAATAATAATGGCCATATAAAGAATTCAAAGAAAATGAATCATTATCATAATAATAATAATGATGATAGTCTAATATCACCATCAACATTATCATCAACATCATCATCATCGGCTTTATTATATCAGCAGCAACAACAACAGCAACAGACATCTTCGCAAATAATGTCATCACATGATATGGCTGATAATTCATCCATTAGTTCTCCATCATTAGATTATGGTGGTGTACAAACACCAGATTCATCTCCACATGGTAGCCCAATAAATCAATCAGCCGATATTATCTATAATAATAATAGATTCAATCAACATTCACCACGTTCATTCTATAATCATAATAATTATACTACTACCACCAATACCACCGGTCCAATATCATCGATTGGTTCGATGAATAATTCAGGTCAACAAACAACATTAGTCATGAATGATCAGATCTCTTCAACGAATCCATTGGATTATCCACCACCACCACCACCATCATTATTATCATCATCTCGTCAAGGAAAAGGAACAGCTAAATCATCATCATTACCAACACCGGAAATCTCACCTGTTGAAAATGATTTACATCACTCCCATCATCATCATCTTCATCAACATCCACATCAACAACATGTATATGGGTTACATACTAGTAGTGGTGGATCACATCATCATCATCATCTTCATCATCAACATGGATCACAATTGAATGATCTGCATACAATGTATCCACCAACACCATCACAACATCAATCGATTTTCCATCATCATCCACAACAGCAACAACAACAATATCATCCTACACAAACATATGGTAGTGTTGATGTTAATAATAAATTATCACCGAATAAATCCATAGCTAATACGAATGAATTGAATAATTCAATTCAATCATCGATAAAATCATCGATTGATCCATTTAATGAATTAATTAGTCGTTTTAGTGGTTCATCAACATTTTTAAGGAATGTATGTCCACCATATTCATATCGTCATCAACAACAACAACAATTATCACCAACAAATCATCAATCAGATTCATCATCAGCCATCACTATTGATATCAACGATCAACGAAATTGTAGCCCATATTCTGGAATGGAAAAATCGCCAATGAGTTATCCATATGATCAACCACCACCACCGCCTCAACCACCAAGATCAATGCTACAACATCAATTGGAATTACCAATCAATAATAATGAATCATCACCGTCATCTGCATCATCGATTACGCCAATATCATCATCATATCATCATAGATCATGGTCAAACCCAATCGATACGACAATGATGATGAATCATACATTATATGGTGCTGCTGTTGGCAATTATTCTTTATCGATGTATAATAATAATAATAAAATTGAATCAAAACCAGAAACAATGTATACTGGAAATATTTATCAATCGAATGATACGAATCTTTACTATGGACAGAATAATTTTGATGCTGGTAGCAGTAATGATCCAAATATAGCATTCCATTATGGTACAAATAGTAATAGTCCTCGATCGAATACAATCATATCGAATGAATTACATTCAGATTTAATATCAACAATTGGTACTGGTGGTGGTAATGTAATGGATAATAACAGTATAGTAACACCCACAACAACAACAACATCATCATCATCAACAACAACAACGATGAATAATTATCATCATTGTGATTCAAGTAATTCCGAATTGATTGCTGCATTAGCCGAAACTCGTGAAATCATTTCATGAGAAAAATCCCAAAACACACACATACACACACACACACACATAAAAAACTGATAATACCTACAAATGACGAGCTTATAAGAAAACGAATCAAAAAAAAAAAATACTTTATCCGGAAAAAAGTGCAAATCTTCTTTTTCTCATTAATCAATCAATCAACCATTTAGATACAATATGAACACAACCAAATCCTGTTCATTTTACAAATGTCACAAATTTTTTTTTCTCTCTCTCTCTCTCTCTCTCTCTCTCTCTCTCTCTCATTACAATCGATTCAAATCAATCATTGCATATATATCATGATAATCATTATTGTAATCATCCAGGTTTTTTCTTTTCTTATTTTTCGTTTTTCTTCTGTAACAAACACACACCCACGCAATCGTTTTCAATTCTTGAAATTGAAAATTCAAGAAATCTAATACAATTGTATTCATTTCTATAAATATATAGCATACACACACACACACACTGATTCTTTATATAAATAGTTGACATCTTTGATAGATTTATCATAAAGCCCCCCGTACACACTTAAAGACCTTTATTTCTATTTTTTTTGCATCTATAATTATGATCATTATTATTAATTTTTATGGAATTTTGAATCAAATTTAATATTTAATTATTAATTATGGAATTTATGAGTTATATATCTCTATTATTATTCATTCATTCATTCAATCATTCAATTAATTGTAATAAATAAAAATCATTGATTCCAAAAAAAAAAAAAAAAAATAAATCAATCAAAATCATCATTTGAATTTGATACATGAGCCATCGATGGAAAATCATAGATCCAGGAACCACGTCGAAATGATTGATTATCATGGTCGATCAATAAAATTTTTTTTTTGTCTTTTAATTTTTATGCTTCTTTCGTCTTGGCTAATTGGCAATTTATTGCACACATGATGTTCATGATGTATATATAATCTATGATTTAAAAGAGATGAAAAAAATGATCTTTTTCCATGTGATTTTACACCTAGAAAAAAAATTTTGTTGAATCAACACCGTTTTTTTTCTGTAGTATGATGATGATGATGATTAATGTTTAGTTTCGCGAATAGTATATGATGATGATGATGATGATTATCGAATGATCATCGAGATTGACTACGAAGAAGATGTCTTGATCAACCCATCTCATCATTTTTTCTGTTTTTGTATCTTTCCAAACATAGACACACCAATTTCAATCGTCGTCGTCGTCGATGACAAGCCCAGAAAAAAATGCTCATTTATATGACCGGCTTTATTTTTTCTTTTCAAGAAAAGGAAAAAAAATCCGCCGCATCCAACTATATACGATGATATAATTGCATGGGCGCGAAAGTTTTTTTTAATTTTTATAATTTCTTAATACATACATAGGCGCCATCCATCGGGCAAGCATTAAATTATAATTGCGTGAAACGTTAATCGTTGATTATTGTCATTTGGAAAATTTTTTTTCCCCATTGAAAACAAATAAAAACAAAAATAATTTTTGAACCAAACGAATTTGGTGATTTATTTATTCAGTTGACAAAAAAAATAATGAAAAATACATTAGATTCTTTTTTGCAAAATTTTGAATGTTATACAAATTGAAAATTTAGAATTGAATCATTTGACCCTTTCGTTTTTTATCGCCACCAATTTCAAAATGTTTACATCGTTTAATCGGGATCTGTTTACGAGTTTTGCATTCACTACATTCCATACGTAAGACAATTTTTTTGGTCGTTTTAGCTTTCTTTCGAAGAATTGGTTTTGATTGACCACCGAAACCTTGTTGTTTTCGATCATAACGACGACGTCCTTGTGCAGCACTCGATTCTTTACCCTTTTTATATTGGGTAACTTTATGTAATGTATGTTTCTTGCATTTACCTTTACAAAAGGTTCGACGTGATTTTGGTACATTAACCATTTTTGATGATGATAATAATTCCGGTGAAAATTTGAAATGAAAAACCAAAAATAAACACACACGACTCAAACAAAAACAACACTCACACACACAAAAGCATACGCAAAGGAAATAGGAAGAGCGTGACATGTGGCTACGAAAACAAAACACAGACACAGAAAAGCGGCTATTTCTATCCATGTGGATACACACAACCACAATGATTTTGAATCCAATTTTTTTCTGAATTTGAAAATTTTTAGCTAATTTTTCAATTTTTTAACCAGAATTTTCTTCATCTCAATAATAATAATAATCCAGAAACATTGGACTAGAAGCATTGGAAAATTTATGATTTGATTAAAAATCTAGGCGAAAAAAATGGACACGAATTGTATATACAAAAATGTATTTATTTTGATACATTTTTCGATAATTTTTTTTTAGAAAAAAATGAACTTTTTTTTGTCAATATTTTTTGTGTTTATGTAGTGTTTTTGTTTTCAAAAAAAGAAGCCTAAAATTTTGCCACCAAGATGTTTACGACGTGCTTCCTCATGATCCATAATACCGCCCGATGTGGTCAACACTAAATAACCAAATTGACGTGATGGCAATAGATTACGTGTATATGATTCCAGATCTTTCAGCTGTACATCGAATCTTGGACTAATCACACCACATTTATTTAATCGTCCGGTTAGATTGACGACAATTTTACCCGCACGATGATCATCAACAATTTCAAATTCACCAATATAGCCTAATTGAATTTTCAATTCATTTGAAAAAACAAAAAAAATCATGAATAATTCATTCATATTTTGAAATTCAAAGAAAGAAAAATTCTTACCATGTTTGACCATAACGTTCAAGAATTTGACAATCACTTTGGATGATGGTCTAATTAGTACTTGACGTTTACCACGTTTTTCTGCATTATTTATCGATTTCAAGGCATCAGCCAAAACATTCATTCGAACCATGATTGATTCAGTTTGAAAAATTGAGTTAATTTAAATTTTTAATCAAAAATTTTGGTAAAAATTTAGATGAAAAAATTAAAAATAACAGACACAAATGAACACACACATTGAGAAACGTGTAGGAAAAGGAAGAATATTGTATGCTTGTATTTTGTGTTGTGTTGTGAATCATTGATATTGATGATCGATGCATGCCACACATACACACAATTTTTTGTAGTAGCAGCATAATAAAAAGAAAATTGGCCGCTTTACTCAATCCATTCATAGATACTAGTATTTATATTAAAATAAATTTCATCTATAAAATTCAATTCAATGTCATTTAATTTGAAATAAAATGGATTTATTTCAACAAATAAATCGGAATATATATGAAAATTCAATCAAATTCCATCAAAATTGATAATGAATTATGAATCAAATGGATGAAAAAAAAAATAAAAATAAATCATCATATACTTTATGAACAGTCAATAATTCTAACAATGGAAAATGTTGAGCTGAATGAGTAAGTTTTGAGTGAACGAACCAACGAACGAATGAGAACGAACGGGAGGAGGAGGAGGAGAAGAAAGATTTTTCTATTGATGTGTGTGTGATATGTGTAAATGTGTGTGTTTTGATGTATAATATAATCATAATAACGAATGAAAAAAAAATTTCTTTTTTTTTGAAATACAAAAAAAAAATCCATCTACCTTTCGGCTGTCCATTAAAGATTGATTCATGAACGAATCGAAAAAATTGTGAATAAAATTCCATCCATGCAACAACAATATATCGAGACATTTAGGTTTTTTTTTGTTTCACCATCTCATTGTCATCGTCATCAGCAAACATTTTTTTTTCGTTTGTTGAATTTGAATTTGAAAAAAAATTTGTTTCCGATTGTCAAAAGTTTATCTGTCGCATTTTAGACATCTGTCACCGTTTTTTATCTGATGGTTAATTAAAACGACTACTACTATTCAACACATCAACATTTAGAATCGTCATCGATTTTTTTTTTGTTTTTATTTTTTTTATTGTTGTCGTCGTCGTCGTCGTTGTTGTTGTATGATTGAGAGCTAAAACAAGAAAGAGATATAGATAGAAGTATCGCCACACGAAACAAAATATTAAATAAAAATTTCTATCAAAATCCATTAACAACAACAACAACAAAATAAAATCTAAACACCGATAACAACAACATCAAACACACACACACATATATATAGACACAATAAACGGCCATGTCGGCCGAAAATGAACGGATACAGATCAGCGATGAATTGGTTAATCGTTTGAAAAAGTATGTTTTAGTTCATTTGTAATCTTGAAATTTTATTGAATTTTTTTCTGTTTCTTTTAAAAAAAATTAGTTATATGAATGATCCGATGTATAAAGAAGCAGTGGAAAATTCATCAACATACAATGAACGATTGGTAAAAGAACGAAAATTACGTTTGCCATTTATCGACGCTCAAACTGGTGTTGCTCAGAGTATTTAAAACTATTTTCATTTTGATTTCTAAATTTATTTTAAAAAAAAATTTTCAATTTATAGGTGACTGTTATATATGGTCCTCGAAACTTGATCGTATGCCGGGCTATCATTCAGCCCAATTATATTCATATCCAGCACGAAGATGGCGAAAGAAACGGAGACAATATCTGTTGAATGATAATTATTCAACAACAAATACGATTAAAGAACATTCGGAATCAAATTCAAATGATTCAGCGTTAATATCAGCAATTGGGGGCCAAATCGGCCCAAATGGTGGTGGTGTTGGTAGTGGTGTTTCAAATCCAGATGTTTCAACAATAAATATGAATGCAACAAATTATAATAATAATAATGCAAATATTGTACAAAATGGCAATTGTTTATCAATGAACAACAATACGAATTCCAATTCTGCCTTGAATGACATATTCGATGATTCAAAAGATTCATGGCTACGTTATGATGATGATGTTAGTGATCTGCCGGATGCAGGTGAACTGGATGATCCAGAATCTGATTATGACGATTATGAAGAATATAATTCAAGAAAAAAGAAATCAAAACGTAAAGAAACAACGACGACTTCGTCATCATCTTCATCGACAACGACACCAACATTGAAAAAGAAACGTTCCGAATATACGGATTCAGAAAAACCGTATCAATGTGAATTGTGTGGTGCTCGTTATAAAACACGTCCAGGATTATCCTATCATTATTCACATAGTCATCAAGAGAATAATACTTCTAATAATAGTAATGGTGCATTATCATCCGGTAATGGTTCATTGATACCGGATGAGGATTCCAATTTTTTTGGATCAACAACTATACAGAATGCAAAATCTAATATGCAGCAACAAAATCAGCAGATAATAGCTGGAAATCATCATCACCATCATCATCATCCTCATTTACATCATAGTATTCAGTCTCCTAATACTAATCATTCATCATCGTCGACACCATCCAGTCATCATCATTCACATCATCATCATTCTCATTTACATCATTCATTATCACAAAATTCACAATCACCAATACCGATAATTGGAACGAATCATTTGCCAATTAATTCATCGTCATCAATTTCGGCAACACGTGGACAAATCAATCAATCATCGGATGATAATTTAAAGGATCGAAAAGGTAATGATATTTTTTTATTGACCATGAAATGAAAGCCTCGAACTCATTGACGATTTTGCACGAAAAATTTCGATTTTTTTCTGTTGAACACAAATATCATTCATTCATTTTAATTCTTTGTTTGTCCCATCATTTATTCGAAATGAATCTTGCCTGCACTTTTTTTCTCATCTTGCTTTTTTTTATTTTCGCACATTTGATGATCCAATGTGTTCTTGCACTATCTTTTTTTCGGGTTTTTTTTTCTCATTATGATGATGTTATAAGATAGAATGATGTTGATTGCAATCAGAGGCTTTCTTCTCATGACGATGCTTGAATTGAAAAAAAAATTAAAAATTTTATTTTATTCTCCATATTTTTTTGACAAACAAAAACAAATTTCATCTATGTATCTTATTTATATAAATTACATATATAATATATTGAAAAACAACAAAAATGATGATTGAACTACTTTTTGTAAATATAATAATTTTCAACAACAACAACAAAAAAATGCATGCAAAATTTTAAATTTTGATGATTTAAATTTTTTTTATTGATACGACAAAATGAAAATTTTCCTTTTTTTTCATTCTAATTTCTCTTTTGTCTTTCTTTTTCTTTTCTTTTCTGTGTTTTTTTCCAAAAAAAATGATGTTTTCTATTTATTTCGGGTGGCTTGGTAAAAAAAACAAAAATTTTCATTTACCCGATATATGCATGATTTTTATTTCACTTATTTATTGGTGATGATTGCATATACATTCTGATTTTGATAATCATTTGTTATTATTATCTATATATTGTCTAAAAATCTTTTTTTTTTGGTAAAATTTTATATATTCGATATATATGTATTTTGGTATATATAATATATATAGAGAATAATAAACAACAAAAATCCACAACAACAACAACAGCAACAACAACAACAACGACGATGACAACAACAACAAACACGACAACGAAAAGAGCATCACCATCGAATTATTGTGATTTTTGTTTGGGCGATTCAAATGAGAATAAAAAAACACAGGAAGCTGAAGATCTGGTTTCATGTTCCGATTGTGGACGTTCAGCACATCCATCTTGTTTACAATTTACACCAACAATGATATTATCAGTGAAAAAATATCGTTGGCAATGTATTGAATGTAAATCCTGTGGTATTTGTGGTACATCCGATAATGACGTAAGTGTTTTTATTTAATTTGATTTTTTAAACATTAGTTTTAATAAACCTTTTAAAACACCTTAGGATCAATTACTTTTTTGCGATGATTGTGATCGTGGCTATCATATGTATTGTCTAAAACCACCGTTAACTGAACCACCGGAAGGTTCATGGAGTTGCCAAATTTGTATAGAAGAATATCATACGCCTAAATCAACATCGACGACTACTATCACATCAACCACAACAGCAACAACAACAACAATGCCGGCAATAGCCACTAATAAAGATGAAATCAAATAATATAATGATTGTAACAAATTCAAAAATAACGTTAATTGATTCCACAACAATAACAACGACGACTACAGTAAAAATAATATCAAACGCTTGTAACAAAAAACAAATTTTCCAATTCAATTTAAACTGAAATGAATATGATTTCATAAATCTATCAAAAGCATAAACTAGACATTCAACAGCCGCCCATTAAAAGACACACACCTGCCCAAATTATCAATTACAACACACACACACAACAAAATGCATGATTTCATTAGATATTATTATAGAAATTTAAATTAATACCATTGTATATAAATGGGCAGAATTTTTTTTCAAAAATTTCCGCCTACACACAGACACACGTACTACGAAATCCTTGATGATTTATTATTGATCTTATTACAATTATATGATGATTTCTTTTTTGTTGCCCGTCGTGAAAATTATCAAATTTTTTTTTTAAAAAATTATAAATATGAAATTTATTATATTCACAAATTTTCTTTTTGGTCATTTGTCAAAATTTTTCATCAACCAAAAAAAAATGATCCATTTTTTTTGTCAGAAAAAAAATTTCTCATGTACAGAAATTTGTATTCTCAAATTCATATACACATCATCGTCATCATCGCGTTTCATTCACATTTCACACACACAATCTCATTATCCACCAATACACAAACACATAACCCAAATTTAAACAGTGAAATGGTAATTTTCAAATACACTTTCTTAATAATTGATTTAATAATTTTCAATTTTTTTTGTTCTAGCCCATTTGTAAATAATGAACTTGATTATATATATATAAAAAAAAATCAGAATTTCATTCAATATTCGGAATGCCCTTGTCAGCCCCAACCACAGAATTCACTGACATGTTTGTATGGTCACAATTTTCATATATTTACACAAATACACAACAACAACAATTTAATATTATAAAACAGGAAACAACAACAACAACAACAACATTTATTGACAAAACAGAAAGATAAACAACAAACAAATTATTTTATTTTATTTATATAAATAAATGAATGATAATTATTATTATTATTAATTTTAAGAAAAAAAAATAAATCGATTACTGATGTATAATTGTTATATTTTCATCGGATTGATTCAAAATTGTCAACAACAACAACAACAAAAAAAGAAGATAAAATTGAAAAATCTGCTGAATCTTTATAGAAAATTTATTTTGAGTTTTTTTTTGTGTGTGTGTGTGTGTGTGTGAAAATTGATTTTGATGATCAAAGCAAACAATAAAAGAAATAGTGACAAAATATAATATAAAGAATAGAATATATTTGTTTTTTTTTGTTTGAATTATCTCAAAGAAATAATTCTTCTGGCAGTTCATTACGATGTGGATAGCTATCCTGTGTACCTGGCCTTGTTACAGCCGTTGATGCTATTATATTACATCGTTTAATTGTCTCTTCAATGGTTAGATTAGGGAAATGAACCAAATAGAATGCTAAGGAACCCATGAATGAATCACCAGCGCCCTGTGATTTAATTAAAAAAAAAAATGAAAATAGAATCCATAAATCAATCAAAAAAAAAAAAAAACATACGGTCGTATCAAGTGGTTGAATCTTATTCGGTACTGGTATATGTAATGCTTGATGTCGATTAACATAAAGAGCACCATTAGCGCCCATTGTTAATATGACCGAACCACAACCTTTATCCAATATCATTTTACATGCAATACGACAATCATCAATAGTATCAACACGTAATTTTGTCATTAATTTGGCTTCCGATTCATTTACACATAATATATCACATAATGGATAAATATGACTATTTTCCATTGGTTTCGGAAATGGTGGTGCACCATTTATCAATGTGGGAACTGGTGATTTAAACAATGATAAAAAAAATGATTAATATGAATTTATTAAATATCAAATTTTGCATTGCATTACCTTTATGTTTTCGAGCCAATAATAATGCGGCATGTAGTGATTCAGGTGTACATTCAAAAGTGCTTACAAATAATCGACAATCTTTAAATAATGAATCACTCAATTTATTTATCTCTTCCGGTGTTAGTGAATTTGTTGCACCAGGTACATAGACAATATTATTATCTCCTTTACGTGTTACAATAATAGCGGCTGTACCGGTCATTACATCTGGACATTTTAGTACAAATTCTGTTGAAATATTATGTTGTTGAAAATTTTCAATCATTTCATCGCCAAATGTATCGTTTCCAATCTAATTATTATCGAAAACAAAATAAAAATTTGATTATCAATTGATTTGATAATCAATTTTGGCAGTGACTTACTTTGGCTAACATACGACATTCCAAACCTAAACGTGCAGCCATTATACAGGCATTTGCTGCTTTACCACCAAATCCTTTACGAAAATTATTTCCAACCATTGTTTCACCCGGTTCAGGAAATCGATCAACATATCTGATGAAAATAAATTAATCGTAAAATTTCATCATTATCAAAAGAAATAAAAACATACGAAATGAGATCCATAACTGAAGCGCCCATAAATGAACAAACACGTGGATGGTTATCGTCAATTTCCATATTCTTCTTTGTTTGGTTAATTGATTATGTTGTTTCAATACAAACAAACAAACAAAAAACTGTTCAACAGGTCACAAACGGTGGTCAATTGAAATAGAAATGTTGTCGAATGAAGATTTTTGATGATTACTTCACACAAAATTTAAAATTGAAATTCTATACAAAAACAAATTATAAATATTAAAATATAATAACGAAAAAAAAACCAAAATCACAATAAAACACTGAAGTGTATCGTGTGTTTCGTGTGTGTGTGTGTGTGAAATTAAAAATTTACAAGTCAAAAAAACAAACACTCAACACACACACATATAACACCATCAAAAAATGGCCAAATCAATAATCAGCGATGGAATGAGAAAGACAAAAAAATATCCCTAGCCATTGTTGTTGTTGTTTGCGTTCATATGTTCGATCGACATGTTCAAGAAAAGATTAACCATTCATTAGTCTTAAAAAAACGGCACCAATCAACAACAACAACAACAACAACAAAAAACGAAAAACAACAACCAACTATCCACCATTTATAATAATAAAATTGATTAGATAATATTTCATTATGGACATATATTTAACATCATCATCATCATCATCATCATCATTGATCAAATTCAATCATTTCATCAAAAGCAAAAGAAAAATAATCGATTGATTTATTATTATTGAACATGATAGCAACACAAGAACATGATACAATACGAAACACACAAAGCTGATCAATGTGATGTGTAATCTCGAGATTTGCTAAAGGACAATTTTCATTTAGTTTCATTTTCCTTATGAGATTCTTTTCAAATGATGAAATAAAAAAAAAGGAAATCACATCATCCCGAACACACACACACACACAAGTACGTACGCAAAAAAAACAAGCAAACACATAAATAAGTTTTATCTAAATAATCATTTTTCGAAAAAAACAACGATAATGATGATGATGATGATGATTGGATGCCCAAAATAATGATGATCGATAATTAATATTTTTTATTTTCTATTTCAAAACTAATAATTCATTCTGGACATGATGATCATCAATAAACTGTCAAATAAATATCTTTCATTACCACCAACACCAACACCAACCAGTATTCATTATACGATATATTTGTGTGTAACCATCGTATATCGTATTCGTCAACAAAAAAAAAGATTCTTGTGTATATGACAGTTTCTTTCTGTGAAATAAAAATTTTTTTTTGGATAAATAAATAAATTCAATGAAATGAAAAAAAAACAGATCGCTCTTTTTATCATCATCAAAATTTTTTTTTTACATTTGGATATCAAATTTCAAATTACCAAATAACCTTGATGATGAGTGAGCATTAGCGGCACAAAACGCGGCAAAAAAAATAAATAAAATCGATGCGATTGTACACAGTTGACAATTGAGAAAATCACAATCAACCAATCTATGAAAGAAGAAGTAAAGGGTTTACGAACAAAAAATCTTTGAAATAATTTTTTTGTCTTTGATTTTCAAAGTTAACAAAAAAGAAAAAATGATAATGGAAATCGGAAATTACTGATTATGATGATTGATGGTATTCTCCAATGTCACGGTCATATCATTATCATCGGGAAAAAAATTCAATAATTTTTCTGGATTGATAAAACAATTTTGTAATTGAAAATTTGTAATTGAAATCAACCAATCAAATGTAGCAGCAAATTATTATTATTGTAATTAAACTTTTGTGTTTTCTATCAGATGATAATGATGATAATTTTTTTTTTAATTACAAAGTTGCCATTATTAAACACAAATGCTCAAATGATGATGATCAAAAGACAAGAGAAAAAAAATGATGATAAAATTTCCAACTCAAAACCGGATGATCAAAAATGAAATTTTAATACCAGAAAAAACGGTCAACTTACACAAAACATTGATCAATTTCAATTACCGGTCGATAAAACAACAATAATGATGATGACGATGGAAAAAAAATTTGTAACAAAATATTCTCCAAACAATCAACAATACACAGTTATATTATGGTGTAAAAAAAATTGATTAAATATCACAATCATACAAATTTTAGGCAATCACCAACAGTGATGATGATAATGATAATGATGATGATGATGGAATTTTGAACGGGAAAAATCTCTTTTTCATCAAGGAGATACTACGTTTGATGATAATGATGATGATATCGTCATACGATTTGATGATTATATTACAAACGACAAAAACACATATTACACACACACACACAAACCAAAAAAAAAAAATGATCAAGTTGATTGAGATTTTTCCAAATGGTCTTCTCATTCGAAATGATTGTTGATTGATGATGGACTTGCTATTTTTGTTTGTTGTTACAAATCAATTGTCATCGTAGTCGTTATTGGTAACGTGCAATGTGATTTTAAAAAAAAACAACAACAACAAAATTATAACAGTTTTAAATGGATTATATTACAAGCTCTTGTCGTTGTTTGGAAATGGCTAAATGGAAAATTTCCAACAAGAAAAAAAAACTCAAATTTATGGGATATTCTAACGTTGTTATAATCGTTGAATGCAAATGATGTTGAAACGATAAAAATGCAAATAAATTCGTTCGATTTGATTGAAAAAAAAACTATGATAAAAATGAAAATTTTGAATTCAAATCATTTATCGTTATTTTTTAAATGAATTTATTGATCGATTTGGATGGTGGTCTCATGGTTTGATGAGCAATCAATCAAATCAAATCACATTCTATCATAACCATCAACGACGTTGATGATGACAAGGCTAGGATAACCATAGAAAACGAACGTATGATTTTTATCTATTAAATGTTTTTTTTGAGATAATTTTCTTTTCTCTTTAGTTTTTTTTTACACACAGAAATATATTTCCTTGAATATCAATACAGAAAAAGTGATTATAATTGGCAAATATCCAGCCAACAACCAATACCATTCGTTTGATGTTTAATCAAACACATGAACATCTTTTTCATTTCTAATCATTCAATCAATTAGATATAAATCAATTTCGATAAAGATTGATGGATGGATATATTGGCACTTAATATTGGTTTTCTGTTAACTTGTGAATTTGATCAATTTTTTTTTCGCCGAATAATTAAAAAACAAAAATCGGTACATACCTGTAATTATGTTTGGATTGATTTTTTTTGCTGCGATTACAAAATTTTTGTGAAAAATAACAAATAATTTTGTTTTGTTTTTGTTGAAAATTGTCACAAATCAAAACAACAACAACAACAAAAAATTCAAGCACCAACAACAACCATCATCATCATCATCATTGCAGTAACAAAGTTAATATATAAAAATGTACATTTTCAAGCAGATGGATAGTAGTTAGCTATTAGCTCTTTATAGTTAAATGATGATGATGATGATATTATCGTAGCTTATGTTGTTGTTGTTGTTGCTTTTTTTCGATGTCATGTGATTCACAAAAAAAAACTTTCATTCATCATTTGGTTGGTATTTTACTGGTAGTTGATTTGATGATGAATGAACGAATGAATGTTTGGATGGCAATGTATTTCACATGATCATCATCATCATCATCATCATTCTTTCAATGAAAAGGTAGTCGTCTTCATCGTTGTCGTCATTCATTCAACCAATATACAATCCATCCATTAGATTGGTGGATCAAGGACACGAAATAAATGTGATTTTTTCCACTGATGATAATGATGACTGCGCGCATATATGATTCGTGTAGTTGTCGTCGTCTTTGGCTTTCTGTTTGTGTGAATGGCTTATGGATGATGACTGATTTACTGTTGTTTTCATTGAATGAATTGTTTTTTTTGTTTTGTTTTGTTGTTTTTTGTTTTTCATGCCAACTTTCACGAAGAGAAAATCCCTTTTTCGCTATTTCGATTGAAGGTCACAAAAAATTGCAGTTGTTTTTTTTTCTTGGTTTCAGTTTTGTTTGTTTTTTTTTTTTTTTTTGGTTTATAAACATAAAACCATGTATGTATAAATAATAAACAAAATATCCATATTGTTTCTAGCCATCAATCGATAGATGTCACTAAATCCGGTGGATCTTTTATTTACAAAAATTTTTGAAATTTTATTTTTTCAAATCTTGAAATTCTTTCGATAAATTCGCCACTGTTTTATCCATCTGTAAGTATAGATCAATCTCTTCAACAGTTGTACGAATACGTATCTGTTGATCCATCATAATATCGACCAATTTTTTCCAATCATTCGGCATTAACTGTATACAGTCCATATATAATTGTTTATGATTTGGACACATTTGCATTGCTCTATAAAGGATGGCTGAATTGAATGCCGTATCATTCGATCGATTATTACGTCGACGTTCATGTTCCTAATTGTTTGACAATAACAGAAAAAAAACAAAACTGTTAATTCACTGAAAAAAATAAATAAATCTCTAACCTCAAAACGTATGAATAATCTCCAAATAATTGGACAATGTGCCAATGATCTTCCAAGAAGCCAATCAATCGATCCATGATGATGATGATCACCACTACCATCATTATCATTATTATTATAATTCAATGCACGTTCAAATAGATTACGTATCCGATTGATTAATCCATTTCGATAATCATAGCCCGAATCATCTAATTGAATGAGAAAATTAGAAAAAAAATTCAATTAATTTAAAATTAGATTCTCGACAATCACATACAAAAAAATTAGCTAAACTAAAATAGCCTCATGAAAGGGTATCTAAATGATAAATAAGCTGTGGTTTATGATCGATAGAAATTGTAACGAAAAACTGTAATGAAAAATTATCAACAAACGCTATTTGAATGGCTATTCAAACGAATTTTAGGGGGTGTGTGTGTCTTTGTCTTTGTGCTGAGACCACAAAGTAAGGAAAATAATCGGGCTCGATTGATACTCGGGTACCAGGTCGAGAATTTTTGTAGGGGACGGACTAGCGATTCAAGTTGGATTGTTGGTCAAGCTCAATGGTATTTGGGGCTTTCAGTGGAAAAGCTTGGAGTTCGAATGGAAAGAATTGAACTACTTTATTCGATTCTGGAAGTTTGAATAACGGCTTTTTTTACTGGGAGATGAATCTATTGAGTTTTCATGGTCCTCAAATAACAGAAAAAAATTAAAAAAAAAGGAATAAATACCTTCTGCAATTGATGTAGCTTTATCCAAAATAAGAAATTCTGAATGCAATGTGGCCATAAATATATTGTACATTGCTTCAATGGTGTGGCCAGAATTATCATTAAATTGTTGTTCATTGTTGTTGTTGTTGTTGTTTAGATATTTTTTCATCAAATAATTCTGTAGCTGTCCAGCTGTATTGGAGATGTAATCATGAAAAAATTTTCGACTTTTTGTCATTACAGTAAATCTTTGTTCTAATCTAGCCAAAATAGCTAAGAATAATGAATCAGATGGAAATAATGTTACGGCACGATCAACAATGGAACGAATATGACGGATAGTAGTTATAATATTGTTGTTGTGATTGTTTGCAATATGATCACGTAATAATAGTTGTATGTAAAGAATGAAAAAACTTCGCTCCAAATTTTTATCCATTGAATGTTGATCATTGTATGATGATGATGAATGAATAAATTCAATCATAGAATCTGGTTGCATTTGTTGTTCAATAAATTGTTGATATGATTGTTGTTGTTGATGGTAGCAGCTATCACCACTAAGGTAAAGTAAAAATATCATTGCATGAACATGTTCCAATTGTTTACTTTCATATCGTGTCCATTTACATTGAATCGATTGTATTGCTTTCAATATTTGTACAGGATTATTTCGATATTGTTGTTCCATTGTTGACGATGATAATGATGATGTATCATTGTTTATCACAGCTATCAATGTATTCAATGCAATCTGTTGACAATTATTTACATCTAAATTATGTGTTTTATTCGCTGAACGTGGTAATAAATTGATTGATGAAATCAATGATGATGATCCGGTTAAAAATTGATCAAGAATCGAATCCAAATTCAATAACATTCGAACAAAACTTAATGTTAATCGTAAAAGATTCGGTGCATGCATTGGCGTAGGAATCAATTGTATTGTTGTTGAATAGATTTTTATCGATTCGATTAAATCCCATTCGGACATAAATTGGCCATAAATATGATAAAAATGTAAACAATTTTCCATGTCGTTTGAATATTTTCGTAAAATTTCTTTAAAGAATTTCTTAAACATTATCAATGTTAATTGTTTATGTTCGAATAATTGTCTTTTAAATTGAATCCAAAGTAATGTTAATTGAATTTGGTAATCAGTAATTGTGATAAATTGATCAATAAGTTTTTCAAAAACATTATCTACAAAAGCCTGATATGATTGGCTATAGAATCGATCACATTCATCAATAATATCCGTACATAATGGTAAACGATAATTATCCAACAGTCCAAAACGTTTCAATACAAATGATTCGGAATAATTTCCATAACGATTATTGTTGAATCTATGTGAATTTTCAAACAATTTGGTTTCCATTGTACATTGATCATTCTGCACAAGATGATGAATCGGTGAAAATTCCATTTCAAAACAGCTGGTTGAATATGCTGAATTCAAACCATTTTGAATGAACGGTATGCCCAAAAATCGTAGAAATTTTAATGATAATGAAAATTTTGATTCAAGATTTCGTAATCGATATAGAAATGGTCGAAGATCTTCATCACATATAACGATTCGCTCTGGATCTTCAACATCATCCATCGAATGATTTTCAGGCAACATTTGTACATTGATTGGTAGCCAATGTAATTGATGACGCATTCGTTCCATGTGTAACCAACATAATGATTTTAATCGATCATCATCAGATAATGATTGTTTCACTTGAGAAATAATTCGATCTTCACAATCGTTCATCAATGTTTCTGTGCCAAATTTTTCGAAATTTCTTTCATCTTTCATTTGTATTATATTGATCATTTTTTTCATTACATTTTTCTGAAATCGTAGCCAACCTGATGCCGAATATTCACCGATACGTGATACACCAGAATCCCAGAATTGTTCGAATAACATTATCCAATCATCGATCGATGCGTTGAAATCAATTTCATCCGGTGTAAACAAATTGAATTCAATCAATGCCTGATATATTCCAACAGCTTTCTCGTATTGATCAATTGAACGAAGAAATTCGGCCATAAATTCCGTCAAATTCACTATAATCGATTCCAATTCATTTAATTCAATTTGATGCGAACGAAATTGTCCTTCCAATTGTTTACGACTTAATGCACTGAATGCTTGTTTGAATATTTTTCTTGTACGATTAAATTTAAAATTCGTCATTCGTTCAGATCGCATTGAATGATAAATCCATTCGAACCAGGTTTCTGGTGCATTTGGAAATAGAAAACAAAGATTTTTCCATTCATCATCTACTTGACGGCAATCTTTCTGTAATTCATCTGAATATTGGCTCAATAATTTCAATCGTATTAGATTCAATTTCACCGAACGACGATTATGTTCCAAAGCTTTTGTACAGATATCAAATTTTTTTTCAGCACAAAATTTTCGCTTTTTACGATTCATTGTTTTTTCATTATCCAATGATGTTGACGTCGTCGTATCATTGTTTCGTGTTTCATCATCAACATGAAATGAATGGACACCATGATAATAGGTCAGGTCTTGAAAGTGAATAAAATCAATCCATTTATCTACACTGGTCCGATCTTCATAAAGATTTTGATTAAATATTCGTGTCAATTCCATTAATAATTGCTGTACAGAGGGTAATGTTTGTGGGCCTTGTTGCTGTTGTTGACGTATTTGTTCCACATCTTTCAAGGATTCGAATCGAATTTTCGGCTGTTCAGTAGTTGCCATCTTAATATTCGATGCAGATTCCACGAGATCATCGATTTCAATCAAACGAATATAATCGATATTTGTTTGGCTGAAAACAACATTATCTTTTGGATAGATAAAGTTGCCGTTATTTGTGGTAGTGGATTTCAGCTTCAGATTTTTTTTTCGTAGAAAATATCTTTGAATTTTTTTCTTCTTTTTTTCATCAACACTGGATTCTTGACGATGATATAAACGTATCACATGTTTGGAATGATATCTAGGAACATAACGTTCATAAAGTTTATCAAATGCACGATTATTTTTATCACCATTTCGATCTAAACGAAATGCATGCTCTGGACGTAAATTCGGTATGTCTTCGATAAAATTTGCTTTTGATCCTTTCGGCAGATATGATAGATAGCTATTGTCATATACTTCTCGTTCTACTGATAAAGATTCAGGTTTTTTCTTTCTCTCATGTCGACGATGTTTATGTTTACCTTTTTTCTTCAAGTTTTTCTTACGTTTGCTAATAAATTCGACGCTGGAATTTGAATCATCATTGCTGCTCAAATCAATTACGACAGTGTTCGAAGATTTCACCAAAGTTGGATTATTATCATCATCCTTATCGATAAGATCAATATTCTGTCGAAAGCTTGAACATTGTGGCAATGTTGTTATTATTGGAACTGTCGTTGTCGATGATGCAACACTTGGGAATAATGTGACCGACGATGTATTATGGCCATCGACACCGGCTTTTGATGATGATGATGATATTGATGGAAAAAGGCAAAAAGATTTATTATCATTATTATCAGTCATATTGTCGAATTATGTGGAAAAATCATCGTTTCTTTTGTTTACAATCATCAAAAATATATAAATGTAAAAAAAACGTGTAAAATTCGAAGCAGAAAAACAAATAAACATCCAAAACTACAGCCATCTAGTAGCATGGTCGAAAATTATCGCCTTTTCTTTCGATTTCTGGAATTATATGATTTGAATTTTTTACAATTTTCATACACTTTTTTATCATAATCATCATCATCGTCGTCGTCGATTACCGTTGTTGTTTGTCCATAAGATTCGCGTTGTTCATGATCAGATTGTGGATCAAAAACACTGATCAGGATACGTTTTCGTGTTGATTTTACTATTCGTTGTTTCATTGGTGGTAACAACGAAGACAATGATGGTGATGTAATCTGGTCATAACAAATGTTACCACCACCATTATCAACGCGGTTATCATCAAAGTATTTTCGATTGTCAATATTCCAATATTGCGTATTTAAGGATTGTTCTAATTGCTGCTGCTGAAAATTGAATTGTTGCGCTTCGCTTTGTTTACGCATTTCATCCATCATTGAAAAATATTGTAAAAACATATCATAATAATGACGAAAATATACATCCCAGGTTGATGATGGATTTATTCTCATATCAATATCATTCATTGTATTCAATAAATTGATTGGAATCGTATTATTATCAATATTTGAATGAAATTGACGGCAGTTCATGGCTGACAAAATTCGAAAATGAATGTTGAATGATGAAAAAAAAACATTTGTTTGAAGCGCTGCTACGGTTATGTATGGTTGTTTTTTTTTTAATATGAACACAAAACGGAAAAGCATATGCATATACATATGCCCTTCATAGACAATGTGACCGGAATTTTTTTTTGTTTATTTTTTTCATTTCAGATAAAAGAATCATGTAAAAAAAATCGCGAAAAAAATACGGCCATATTGACCTCGAAAAAAATGAGACATACCATAATTATAACAGATTACAAACAGTGATTGTATGTGCCCAAAGATTCTGTGCCATACGATCATCCAATGCACGTGTACTTGGTGTCACATGTTGGCCATTTCTATAATAATAACCACTTTGATGTACAATTTGTTTATCAATTACACAACGAACAATTTGTTCGGCAGCTTTTGTATTTGAATGAAAACCAATTAACCAACCGAATATGGTCAATATTTTTCTACATGCTGGATATAAATTTTGATAATGTGATTGTGTCATTGAAAATCCTGGATCAACATTATAAACACGAATATTCGATGATTTCCATTGTTTTGCCATTTCACGACCGGCCATCATCAGAGCTAATTTACTTTGGCTATATGCACGAAACGGTGTATAGGATTTATCCAGATTTAAATTGACCATATGGATTTTACCACCTATTTATTATCATCGTAAATGGAAATTAAAGAAGAGAAAAAAAAATCAAAATCAATCATTCAGATCGATATTTTTTTGAAATGTGTTCGTGTGTGTGTATGTGACACATACATCGATGTAGAATTGAAACTACATTGATCACTTTACCAATAGTTTCATATTGTTTAGCCGTTTGTTTCATACGTTCATTGAGAAGAAATGTAAGTAAAAAATGTCCATAATAATTAATAGCCATATGAAGTTCATAACCATCAATTGATTTTGTAGGTTCAACACCAGGTATGAATGCAACACTTGCACAATTGATTAAACAATCGATTCTTGGTTCCAGTTTTAATAATTCATTAACACAAACACGTATGGATGCCTGTGATGATAGATCAATATGATGAACAGATAATTCTGCTATTGGATTTGCCATTAAAATATCATTAACAATTTCATGTGCTTTATCCATATCACGACAAAGTAATATGATTCTTGCACCACGATTAGCTAAATTTCGTACAACCATTGCACCAATACCTTGATTTGCACCGGTAATTATAATAGTTTTTCCTTTTATATCATCATCATCAATGTCACGACGAATTTTTTCCAACAATATTCGTACAATGATTACGTAATAAAGTGCTGTAAATGAAATGATTATTGTAATCAACAATAAACTGATGAATAAAATATTCGAATCAATCAATGAATGAAAACAGGTAATTATAGCTGATGTTTTGAATTGATATTTTGATTCATGATCAATTTCATATGTAGAACCATCATCATCATCATTATCCATCAATGAAAATGTATTCGGTGTGAATGTTTGGATCGATGATGGAACATTAATGAATGGTGGAGCCATTGATGCAAAAAAAAAAATCGAACCGTTTCACATACGAAAAAAAAGAAACAAACAAACACCGTTAATTGAACAAATTTTTGATTGATCAGCCAATTTTTTAAAATCTCTGATTTTGTTGATGATGATCACCTGACCGATACTGATGAAGAAATGGTTTTTTGTTTTTCCATGGAAAAAATCTCCTTTTTTTCAAATCGGGATTACAAAATTTATCCAACAACAAAATGGGCAACAACTATATGGTGTCCACTTTGCTTTCTTTGGATCACCGAAACAAGAAAACATGTGTTAACGATTGATCCATCCATCTCTCTTTCTCTCTCTCTCATGAAACGAAACGAAATGAAATGTGGCAAACACCTTTATTTTGCCGTTTATTTCGATTTGAATTGGAAAAAAAATGAAAAAAACCGAAAATTCAAACCAAAAAAAAAAACATTACAAAATTGTTAACTGAATTATTTACGTAATATATAAAAATAGCCACCATCATCATCATATAAGATAAGTTCAAAGATCAAAAGATGCTAGACGACCGCTGATAAATTGATCAACTTGAAAACCACCACCACCACCACCACCATCATCATCATTACATATATAACTTGACAATGATGGTTAGTCAATTTTTTTCTTCTAACCGAAATCTAAAAATTGATTGACGACTTTCTTTTTTTTTTGTTGAATACAGGAAAAAAGGCACGAATGAAAGTGGTCAAGTATATTGATATGTACAAACAAACAAAAAAAAATGCTACTATAAATTTGGTAAAACCAGAAAATGGTGATGATGATCTTCATTTGAAAATGGAAATAGGCCATATAACCATCAATAATGGATAATAAATTTTTCACATCTCTTGGATGGTATTACGTTGAATTCAATTCGAATGAAACAAAAAAAACAGAAAATTCCAAAACAGAATCTTTCATGTATCCGTTGGTTGTCATTTGCATTTTTTTTTAATTAAGCTTTTTTTTCATCATCACCGAAAATATTCTCAAAAAAAAGAAACTAAGCCTTTATTTTGTTCGTACGTTCATTCATTCATTATGATAAGATTTTATGTTTTTCATCATTCCAATCAATTTGATATTTTTTTTGTCGGGCGGCTCGAACAACAACAATACTCGGTAATTGGGGAATCGATAGTGTAGTACGAATTGAAATCAATAATAATCCGGATTTAAAGAATCACTTTCAAAATTGGAATTTTATTCATAAATAACAACACTATGTGGCCATTAACTTATTCTACCATTGTCAAAGTTCAAGGTCTATTAGTCCAAATGTAATATAAAAAAAAGACATGGTCTGATTCTAAACAAAATTTTTCTCTCTTTAAAATTATCATTCATCACATTTCAACTCGAATAGGCATGACCTGACTACAACAACAATGATCAAATAGATGATAGTGGTCAAACAACATGTCAGGATCGAGCAAAAAAAAAAATAATAAATGTGGAATGTGGACTTTGAACAACAACGTCGAACGTTGAACGTCTAACCACCACCAACAAGAACAAATTTTTTTTTTTGTAAGCCAAAAGATATATCATCTATCGGCTAACAATAATTCTGGGTTGATCAGGAGAGGGCGCCACAAACGTTGACTGAAAAAAAATGGAACTCCTCCCTTTTTTTTTACTACAAATCCAGATAGAATGAATGGCGAACGCGAGAAAAACTACGGACAACTGCTTAATGTTATGCTATGCTTCTTCGTCGGATCATCATCATCATCATCGGTATTGAGTAAAGAAAAATAATAATAATGAGCTCAATATACACACAAACACTTGTTTTGATTCTGTCAAGTTGAATCAACTTTTTCGATTCGAATAATAACAATAATAAATTCTTTGGATTGTGGAATTTATTTATCGTTTCAATTTTTTTTATTGTTTTTTTTTTTAAATTCTGTGTGCCAAAATAATAAAGTTATATTATATTATTATTGCCGATATACGTTCCGTTCATTCATTATAATCATCATCATCATAGCACATAACATATAACTTTCACAAAGTGTGAATAAAACGAAAAAAAATGTCCTATCAACAACCAAATCGTGGACCACCGGTTCCATCGAATCGTGTTGTTGGTGGTAGTGCTGGTAATACAACAATGAAAATGACGAATGGCGGTGGTGTACAACCACAATCATCATCGAATCCACAACAACAACCGGGACAAACAGCTTTAAATGGGCAACCAAATGGTACAATGACAATGAATGATCAACAAAAACAACAATGTTGGTCAAATCATGGCGGCTATCTTGGTGTTGATTCTGGTTTCAATTCTTGTGGACAATCGAATCCAATGACACCGTCAATGTCGGTCAATGAAGAAGATATGAATGATCCAAATAATATGGGTTTTGATTGGGATCAAACATTTGGTGAAGCATTTGCTGATGAACAAGTTGTTGATGAATTAAATCAAACACGATCACAACGTGTACGTGCCGCTATGTTTCCTGAAACAATGGATGAAGGTATGGAAATACCATCAACACAATTTGATCCAAATCAAGCGACAAGTGTACAACGTTTGGCTGAACCATCACAGATGCTCAAACATGCCGTTGTTAATTTGATTAATTATCAAGATGATGCTGATCTTGCAACACGTGCCATACCTGAATTGATTAAATTATTGAATGATGAAGATCAGGTTGTCGTTGGCCAAGCAGCAATGATGGTACACCAGCTATCAAAGAAAGAAGCTTCTCGTCATGCCATTATGAATTCACCACAAATGGTCGATGCATTGATACGTGTTATGTCTCAAAGTAACGATGTTGATACGACAAAAAGTGCCGCTGCTGTTTTACATCTTCTATCACAACATCGACAAGGCCTGTTGACCATCTTCAAATCGGGCGGTATTGTTGCATTGGTTAAATTATTATCATCACCAGTCGAATCCGTATTGTTTTATGCTATAACAACATTGCACAATCTTTTACTTCATCAAGAAGGATCCAAAATTGCCGTCAGAATGGCCGGTGGTTTGCAGAAAATGGTTGCCCTTTTACGACGAGATAATTTCAAATTTTTGGCCATCGTAACCGATTGTTTACAGATATTAGCCTATGGTAATCAGGAAGGTAAATTGATCATATTGGCAAGTGGTGGTCCAGCACAATTAGTACGTATAATGAAAACCTATCAATATGAAAAACTATTGTGGACCACATCACGTGTGTTGAAAGTTTTGTCCGTTTGTTCAAGCAATAAACCTGCCATCGTACAGAATGATGGTATGCAAGCATTAGCCATGCATTTGACAAGTCCAAGTCAACGTCTTGTATTGAATTGTCTATGGACATTACGTAATCTTTCCGATGCTGCCACTAAATGTGAAAACCTTACCGAATTGTTGCACGTAAGTGAGATTTTTTTTTACAAAATTAGATTTTGAATTATAATCATTTTTTACAAAATTTTTTTTTCAGAATCTTGTACAATTATTGAATACAAATGATATCAATATTGTTACATGTGCTGCTGGTATTCTTTCCAATCTAACCTGTAATAATCAGGCAAATAAAACGATTGTCTGCCAGGTAGGCGGTATTGAAGCATTAGTTCGTACAATCATACAAGCTGGTAATCATGAAGAAATAACCGAACCGGCTGTTTGCGCACTACGTCATCTGACCAGTCGTCATGCTGAATCAGAAATGGCACAGAATGCTGTACGATTACAGTATGGATTACCTGTAATCGTAAATCTATTGAATCATCCAAGCCGTTGGCCATTGATTAAAGCAGTTATTGGTTTAATTAGAAATCTGGCTCTATGTCCAGCTAATCATGCTCCACTCAGGGAGAATAATACAATACAACGTTTGGTTCAATTATTGAATAAAGCGTACCAGGAAACACGACAACGTAATAGTATGACATCAAATGGTAGCCAGAATATAACGGCATTAACCGATGGTGTACGAATGGAAGAAATTGTTGAAGGCACCGTTGGTGCATTACATACATTGGCCAAAGATCCACATAATCGAGCCGTTATTCGTAGTTTGAATGTTATATCAACATTCGTTCGTATACTTTATAGTGATGTTGAAAATATTCAACGTGTTGCCGTCGGTGTTCTTTGTGAATTGGCTACCGATAAAGAAGGTATGTTTTTTCGATAATTTATAATTTTATACATATTATTAATACTATGATTTTGAATTATGATATCAGGTGCTGATATGATCGAAGCTGAAGGTGCTACATCACCATTAACACATCTTTTACAATCACCAAATGAAGGCATTGCCACATATGCTGCTGCCGTTTTATTTAAAATGTCGGGTGAAAAATCACCTGATTATAAAAAACGATTGTCAATGGAATTGACCAATACATTGTATCGAGATGATACAGCAAATTGGGCACCAGGCGGTCCAGATATGGTCGATATGAACTTGTTGCCGGATGATACGTTCCAAGAACCATTATATCATCCAGGACAACAAGGCCCGCCAAGTGTTCATTCAGCTCAATCACGTCCATTTCATCAACAACCCTATGATTCTCAGGTAAACCATATGATTGAATTTATCTTATGAACTGAATCCATAATGATGATGATTTAAAGATTTTAGATCCTATGGTAAATCATGGAGGATATGGACATACGAGAATGTCAGCAATGGATATGGATCCAAATGATATGAGCTATGATCGAATGGATACAAGTAATGGACCGCCGCCACCACAACAATCATCAATGCAACCTGTACATCCACAACAACAACAACCTGGACCACAACAACAAATGTCTCTTCAACAACAACAATCAATGCAGGGACAAGTTGGAGCTTGGTAAGTTTCTATCAATTAATTCAATGTACACAAACCTTATAATTAACACTGTTTTTTTTGAATAGGTATGATACTGATCTCTAAATGAAAACCAAATATTCTAATTGATGGAATTTAATTTTTGAATCGTATAATGATATAATTTGGACCAAACAAACAAACAATCAATCAATCAATCATAACCAAATATTTCAACAAGCACAGCAACACACACCTACTTCGATTATTATTTTAGCTTTTTCCTTTTATTTTCATCTTATTTTTTATACTTTTTTTTCTATTTGATAATCATCATTGATATTAATAAACAACAATTGCATTTGACATTTGTTTTTCCGGTTTTTTGATATCGTTGTTGAAATTAACAATATCGCTTTCCATTTGAACGTAGTGTGTTTTTTTTCTATTTTATGATGGTAGTAATGATCATTATCATTAATGGTAGACAATCCAAATGATGATGATTTAGCTATAACAGTGTGTGTGTGTGTGTGGTGTATGTAACAGGAAAAAATGAATTCGGTCATTATTATTTTGGTCATTTTCATTTTTCTTTTTAAATTTTTTTCTTAAATTGTTTGTGTGTGTGTGTGTGTGTGCGTGTATGGATGAAAAAAAATATCAGGAATGACACAAAGATTTTCTACACTCTCTCTTCTATTGATGTTTTTTTTTCTCAGAAAGATTAAGTTTTTTCTTTAATCAAAATGATGATGATCGCAAAAAATGATAACATGGTGACATATCGATTATGATATGATTGATTGTAAATGAATAAATCACCACATTTTTTTTTATTATTGTCGATAAACATTGGTTCATTTTTCAAGTTAATTTAACAAAACTACTGAATTCATCTTCAGATGATGTTTTTTTTTATATGATTATTATTATTGCTTAACCATATGTTAAGTATATAAATCTTTTTGTTGTTGTTGTTGCTATTGCTGTAATTGAATACGAATTTCAGAAGGCAATTTTTGATCATTAAAAAACATCATCATCATCATTAACATAATCCTCTCTGTTGATAGTTGAGGATTTTATTGATAAATGTTTTTTCTTTTTTGGCATGATTGAATGGAAAACAGAAAGAGAGAGAGAGAGAGAGAGAGAGGAAATGAATTCCATCACCATCAGCAGAAGCAGTCAAATTGTTTTTTCTATTTGATGTTTTTTAAGGTTATTAAAATGATGATGATGATGATAATAAAAAAAAACTACATGAAACATAACTTGCCAATATCTTCTTCTTCTTCTTCATGCGAAATGGTAATCATTATAATGAATGATGATGATATTCAATTGGAAATATCATATTTTTTATCAATATTCTTCAATTTTGTGATCAAGGTGATAAATTCTGTCACAAATCCGAGATTATAAGTTAACCATGTATCCGAATATATAGAATCCATAAATGACGTTTCGATTATAAATAACCGATAATAATCTATTCTTATTTCATTGATTGATTGATTGATTTTTTTTCATTGTCATAATAATGTAAAAATCAATTAACAATGGACGGCATTCAAACTCGAATAAATAAATACATTGGAGCCAAACAAACCAAATCGAATCTTTTGTTCATTTCGAACGCGAAAAAAAAATTTGGTTCCTGAATAATTTTCATTTATGTTTTGTTTTTGTTTTTGTTTTATCTTCTCTATCATTCAGGTAGTTTCAATTTTTCGCTTCCATGATTATTATCATCATCATCATCATCATCAGCATCATTCAAGCTTTAAAAACCAGTTTTTTTCCAAAATAAAAAGTCGTTTTGTTTTGTTTTGTTTTATTTTATTCAATTTCTAAAGAAGAAAACAAATTCATTTAGAGAGAAACAACAACGAAAACCACAATGATTTGTTTACCTCGTTTGTTTTGATGAAAAGATTTTTTTTTTCATTTTATTCGGTCAGACTCGGACAAGAAACGGAAAGGAAACATCAAGATTGGAAAAAAAAATTTCACCAATCTGGTTTTTGTGTGTTTTTTTTTGTCATCAGTTGTCTTATATATATCGGTTGTGAATAATTCATTTCATATTGATGATGATGATGATTGATTCAAGGTTGTCTTTTGAATCATAATTGAATTGCACCAAAAATAAAAAAAAAAATAAAAATTCATTGAAATTTATTACTTCTCATGTTTATATGGATTTGCATATTCATAATCATAATGATCAAGTTGTAAATATATAAAATAATTGAATCCATATGAATCAAATCATTGGATGATGATCATCATTTGAATCAATGATGAAATATAATCACAACACATAAACCTTGATCCAATCCTTCAATCATCATCATCATCATCATTATTATGATTTGAACAACAACAACAACAACAACAACAACAAAAAATTGCTTTTCAACAAACATTATCAATAAAAAAAAAATGGAAGACACACACAGAAATGATAATTAATTTTTTTCATTTTCTTTATGATAATCATATGAAGACACACACACAGACAGATAGACAGAGCCGGCAGGTGAGAAAATTGTCAATTCTTTTCATAATTACATAACATTGCATTGATGAAAATAAAGATAATAAAAAAAAAAATTTTTCATGAAAAAAACTACATCATTTGTTGATGGTGGTGGTAGTAGTGTTGAAACAATTTTAAAATTTAATTTCTTAAAATTCAAAATTAATGATGGTGACAAACTGTGGAAAAACAACAGCAAAAAATCAATTAATTTGAAATGGATAAAAAATCTGGATTAAAAAAAATATGAACAAATTAATCACTTACGTTATGTACGTTATGTATTCATCAAATGTGAAACATAATTCTTCAACTCTTCATCATCATCATCATCATTTATTTCAAGAAAAAAAAACACACATCGCCCAAAACAACAACAATCATCATTCGTTATCCACACAAACACAAAATGATGAACCGGTTTTTTCTTTCATTCATTCGAAATTTGACAATTTTTTTTTTCTTCTGTATACAAAACAATAGCTGTATATGTGGATGTTGAGTAAATGTGAAACGTGATCAGTATAAATTTTTTTTCTGTTGAATTTTAAATTTAAATTATCATCATCATCATCATCATCATTTCATTTCAAGTCAAGTCGACCAACAAAAAGAGATGAATTGTGGATGATCAAACACGACCGTTGATGGTGCACATTTGTTTTCATCCAGAAAAAATTTTGCATTACTCAGTTGTTGATGTTGTTGATGTATTCATTTTTTTTTAAATTTCGCACATCATTTTCTTGTTTTTGTTTGTTTGTTTGATGAAATAAACAAACAAACAAACAAATAAAACCAGACCAAATTGTCTTCCGGTTGTTTTCTTCCAAAAAAAAAAATCAATTTTTTGTCACTTGCTGGTCATAATAAAATAATGCCACGAGCCACATTGATAAAATTTTTTTTTTTTTTTACAAAGTTATTGGACAGAATTCATAATAAAAAAAATCGATCGCTTGATTGATTGATCAATCGATGTATTTTTTATTTTCTTTTTTTTTGTCTTCCAAAATAAACGATGATGATGATGTTTCCCTGTTGTTGCTAATTATTTCCAGTAGCAGCAGAAGCAATATTTAGCGGCCTTGTTTGAAATTGATTCCAATTGATTGATTGTTTTCATTATCATCATCATCATCATCATCATCATATATTATATTACAAATTATACAAATCATGATGATTTTTTTTTCATCGTGGCCATCACCAAATTACCTGCCATATTGAATTAAAAGTTTTCATTTTCATTCAATTCAATCAATGAATGATGTGTGTTTGGTGGTACGATGCAATGATGATGATGATGATGATGATTATACATCAATACAATGATGGCCATGCTACACACACACACACACAGCTGTAGCCATCATCAATCGATTAATGATCAATATTTATTTGTACAATTGACCATTAAAATAAATGATAAAAATGTCCATATAATTATTGCTAATTTTGGTTTTGTAAACAAAACAATTGTTTCGAAAAGAAATAAAAAAGGGCAAAAAATTATTTGAATGTTTTTGACAATCGTTCATCATCATTATCATCAATCGAATTTTTTGTTTGTAAAAAAAAATAGAGGTTGAAATTGTTTGAAAATATTCAGTGGATATAAAAAAACAAATTTTTTGATTCGATTCCTTTTTTCGACTTTGGGTCATCATTATATTATTACTGTCTCGACCAATTTATGTTGATAATGATGATGACCACCACCACCATCATCATCATCATCATCATCGTCATCGTCATCATGAATGAAGATAGGAAAAATTGTCGTTGATTCAACTTGTGACCATTATCAAAAAAAAAACGATCATTAGCGACATTCAAATGATGCGACGGGTATGATGATAATGATATAATGAGAAATGAGTTTGATGTGATACCAACAGGCGAAAAAAAAGAGAAAAAAAATGCAACCATCAATGTTTGATCGTTGTTGTTGTTGTTGTTGTTGTGATGGTGATGGTGGGTTTTTTTTCATTTTAGCCATCGGAGCTAGCAGCAGCAGCATTAATTTTTTTTTTTCATCAAATCAAAATTATAGTTGTACACAATTTCTTCAATCGATAGAAATGTTTTGATGTTTAAATGTTTTCAATTTATAAAAATTGTTAAAATCAATTTTTCTTTTTTTTCCGTATCTCCACCGAAAAAAAAACTGACAAGCCTATTTTTGAATCGCTGATTTTGTCATAAATGAAAAGAAAAAACGTTTGATAACCCTCATCCTCAAATGAGGGTGCTAGATTCTTCTTCGTATTCGAACGAGATACGTTGCTCATTAATTGATTATATCGATAATTAGATTGTCATTAAGATTAAGTTCATGTTAAATGTTCAATGATTCATGAACTTTTTCCTTATGACAAGCTTCTGTATATATTATATATACTAATAATGCTGTTGGCTAATTATGAAATAAAACAAAACAAAAAAAAACGAAATTAAAAACAAACCATAGCATTTGATATAATTATATGAAGAAGAGAATGAAAATACATACAAAATGATGATGATGATGATGATGACGAAGATCATTTTAAATGAATGAAAATGATGGACATCAACAACAACAACAACAACAACAACAAAAAACAAGATTGACCACAAAAAGAGATGTGTGAAAAAAATAATTTTAAACACAATAATAAGAATAGAGCAACAAGTTTTTTTGTTGTTTTTGTTTTGTTTGTTTGTCGATGTTTTTTGTTGTTGTTGTTGTTGTTGCTGTGTCCATCAATGACCTGTTGGTTTTGTTTGTTGTTTTGGTTTTTTTTTTTTTGTTTTTTTTTTTTTTGCTTTGGCTGATTGATTTTCAATTGATCTCTTGTCATAATTTATGGATCATTTTTTTCCAAACAATCATAATTTTAATCAATTATAATTTGTTCATCTGGTTTTGTTTCCAACAATTTGGCCAGTTGTTTTTGAAAAATTCATTTCCTGTATTTCTGTTTTCATTGAAAATAACAAAACAAAAAAAAACATGAAAAACAAAAAAAAAAATAAATAGACATGAAAGTGAAAAGTTTCAATTTGATTCAATTTTTTTTTTTGTTTTTGTTTTCATTCACCAATTCAACTTGCCAAGTTTTTTTTTGTTTTGTTTTGTTTTCTTTCATATACGAATAGAATGAATCCCCGGATCATACAATTTGAAGTGACTTGATTTCAATTTTTTTTTCTTCTTTTTTTTTCGTTAGATTTCACAAATGAATGCACACAACAAACACACGCACCACACTTATTGTGTTGTACATGTCCGGTGTCAATCGATATCATTTTTTTGCTGCTGCTGCTGCTGCCGTCGTCGTTGTCGTTATCGTTGTATGATGATGGTGTTTTCTTTCTAAACGGATTTTGATTTCAAATTGAATGAATGAATGGATGGATAAAAGAAACAAAACAAAAAAAAACTTTTCATTTTCATCGAATGTTTCGGTTGATTGATTGAATCGAATCACAAATCGAACCGTATTATGTGTGTGTGTGTGTGTGTGTGTGTGTGTATGCTTGTGGATCGAAATAGCTGACGAGCTTATTACAATACAACAAAAATAAATTTTTTTTTTTAAACTGAAAAAAATTTATTTGATTTGAGTTTGAGTTTTTTTTCGATTGTTTTCGTCTGATAATAATGATGATGATGATGACGATGATACAATCATCCTTTTTTTTATCCTAAAATTAACAAACAATTAAAAAAAAATTAACCCATCACTTCTGTTTGGTTCAAATTCAATTGTGTTTGATTAATTGTATGACGAAAAGAACAAAAAAAAAAATGAAAAAAAAACTCGTTCAACTCGAACGAATGTTTTTTTTTTCCTCATCATTATTCAGAATTTTCGAATGATGATTAATCATTTCGATGGTTATATAAAAAAAAAATTTCATCAAAAAGAACAATCATCTTGATTCAAAGTTTCACGATCTCACGAATTCAGGTCATCATCATCATCATCATCATTTATGTGTGTTGGTGTGATTGGTGGCAGTTCTTGGCATGAGAATTTTCTTTGGTTAAATCCATTCTTGTTGATGCTGTTGATTGGCGACACCCTGGCGTGTGATCGACACACTCCCTCCATGTGTTGATTTGGATTTGGATTTCCAAAGATCCAGATGTTTAAACTAATAATGTTTGCCAGTTGAAGAGATGTTATTTTGTTAATTCAACTTTTTTGTTTATTTGTCTTATCTGGTCTGACTATTTCCGTTTCCGTTGTGGTCATTTGGTTGATGATGATGATGATTATCATCAAACATCCTGTTGTATGTGTTTGTGAGTATGTATTCAGCATTAAACATTCTCACTATAGTCTAAAATTACAAGAGAATAAAAGAAAGCAAAAGCCATTATAAACAAAATTAACAACAACAACAACAACAAAAAAATGACAACATCAACATCAACAATCATGTTGAGGAAAAAAAAGTCAAGAATCACATAGTGTTTGACCTTTGACCTGATGAATGTCTTTCGACATAGATTGTATTTCATGTTAAATAGTTTTCAAATTTTCTTTGTTCACATTGGTCACAAATCATGACGATCGATTTGTGTGTTTATGTGTGTGTGGATAAATCGAATGTGTTTATGTGTTTGAATGATGATTCGAGTATTTCCTGCTCTTGTAAAGTTAACAAAGTTAATGAATCACAATCAATTCATTGAATTCAAATTTATCTGACAATGATGACTAATTATTATTCATCATCATGAGATTAATTTGCATTTGTTAATTAGATTAATTAACTAAATCAAAGATATCCCAATCAGAAAAAATCAAAAAGACAAAAAAAACTGATAAAATTCGAGAGAAATTAAAAATCGAATCCAAATCAAAAATCAAAAAAAAAATTGAAAATTGAAAAGTATATGGTAGTAGTATAGAAAATAAGGATATTACGTTTATCCGTTCGTTTTTCCTTGTTTATTTCTACCAACACAATAGAATGCTTCTACAATTCACAATATGTTTATTCTGTTGAATTTAATCAATGAATTTCACATAACAGATTTATTGACTACTACCATAAGTAGTGAAAAAATCCAATTCAATTATGGATATATTTATGCTACTACCACACACAACAACAGCCAAGCCTTGTTCCTGTTTTCAGTGTGTATATTTTCCCGCTTTTGTTGTTGTTGTTGTTGTTGTTCTTCTTCTTCTTCTCCACTACCACACTCATTCTATTCTGCATCTAACTCTGCTGCTACAAAATACCGCTTTTGTTTCATTGTGTCAGTTAGTTTGTGTTGTGGATGCTGGTTGTTCTTATTCTTAGTTCGTTTGTCCGTATGTATCATGTATCGGCCGTATCATCGAATAGCCAAACACACGGCTTGAGCCGCAAAACATCACGCACCGACAATGGTGAAAATGAAATAAATCTTTAGCAAATTGTGTGTGTGTGTGTTGTTGTTGTTGTTTATTATTATCAAAAATTAAATTCATATATCGACAACAACTACAATAACAACACAAAAATTTAAAACGTTCGAACAAACCAACAACAACAAAAAAAATGAATTGAAATCGTAAAGAAAAAAAAAGTTGATCCATTTCATTTTGTCTGTCTGTCTGTCTATCCAGTGTCCAAAACATTCAAATTCGAATGTTCATACTCATCACCAACAGCAACATTCGTCGAACAAGAATTATGTGATTGATTAATCATCATGCAATTGGTAATGGTGATCATCAATCGAATCAAACAGTGAAAAATAAAAATAAAAAAATTCATCAATCGCTGCTCGTTTTTCTTTATTGTTTTTGTTTTTTCTTTTCTTGTTATTATTATTGTTGTTATTTTTTTGTTTCTCTCGCTCACTTTGTTGTGTATGTTTACCATCAAAGAAAAAACTGACAACCAGAAAAATATAATATATCTCTAAATCCAATAGAATAAATGAATGTGTTAATCGATTGATATAGAAACAACGACAACAACAAACCAAACCAAACCAAAAAAAAACGGGCGACGACAGCAGAGCTATTCATCTCTTGTGGTTGAACAGAAAAGAAGGGGCGTCGGCTTCTTTATTTTTTTTTTACATGTTTGCACGTTGTGTATGTATATGTTTATATTTCCTGGTAAATCATCATCATCGTCATCTTATGAATGATTGATTAATAAGAATCAAATATAAATAGTCAAAATCGGCTGGATCAAATCAACCAACCAAATAAAAATCAAAACCGTTGTTATCATCATCACATGTTTATTGTCGCCAGGCTATCTACTCTCTTTTATCATTGTCATCATCGTTTTGATTAATCTAATCAATCAGAATCAATATATTAGAATTGACCAGCATAACAACATCATCCTCAATGATGAAGATTTTCCTGGCTGTAGATCGGAATTCATTTGGATAGAATTTTTAGCTTTTCTTTCTCTTTTTATATGTGTTTGGTCAACCGATTTTTCTTTCCCTCATCACAATAAAAATATGGGCGTTTCAAACGACCATCGCATTCATATTATATCATCATCAAACAACATTTAATGTTGTGTAATAATAATAATAATAATAATCGTGATACCGATCAAATTATCAAGGAGAAAAAAAAATGAACTATAAATTGAACACTATCATCATCATCAGCATACACCATTGAAAGTCAATCGACCAAACCATAGCACATTTGACTAACTACATCATTGGCTGGTTTCATTGAATAACGTATCACCAAAAGAAAAACGAAAAAGTTGCAATCTAAGCCACCACGATCAACCAAAAAAAAGAACTGATTTTCTTGTGTCAGTCAGTTTTATATTTGATTGTGTTTGTACTTTTGGCTTTATGCACTATGTGGTATATGTGTTTGCTATATGGGCGCCAATTTAGATCGATTCCTTAGTTGATAACGTCTGTACGTTAGCCAATTCACTATCACAGTGTTTGCCTGTGGTTTTGTTATTTCGTCGGTTATTTGGATCGATTTGATTAAAATTGTGGGAAATTTTTGGGCTAATTTACTAGTGAAAAAAAGAAGAGAAAAATCTGGGTTTTATTCAAATTTCATTCATTTTTGGCTTTGAATTTCAACAAAATCAATCAATCAATTATTTTCGTTTTTATATAATCAAACAAAAGGGAGACGTCGTCGATAACGACGAGATCATTTCCTCCTCATTTTTCTTCAATCATTTTTTTTCTCATATCTCAACCAGATCTTTTAATCAATCAAAAACGACGACGTGAAAAAAAAGAAATTCATTCTGTGATTTGTATATTTGGTGAAATAAGTAAAAAAAAAAATCTTATCAAAAAATATCAGATTTTTTTTCACATTTCGTTTATGCTGCTGGTCTGATGATTTGATCTTAATGTGGTGGTTAAAAAAGAAAATTTCATTCCAAAAAAACAGCATCCACATCTTCACCCTCTCCTTAAACAACAACAACGACAACAACAGACATTGATAAATACTATTAACAAAATCTTTTCTCGCCATCATCATCATCAATATCATTATAACCGCCTTTTTATGTGTAATTTTTTTTGCTTTCTTTTTCACACATCTTTTTTTCTGTCTGGTGTGTGTGTTTGTGTTTGTCAACAAGGCGTTTCAATTTTTTTGTGTTTGTTTTTTCATCATCATCATCACTCGTTTATAAATGCTAATTTTTGTTCATCATTTTTATCAAAGAAAAAAAATATTCATTCAAGAATTATATATATTTGATTTGATTTAATTTTTGTGTGATTATCATCTAGTTATTTTTTTCCTCATAAAATCAATCATTATCGACATTATGTCATCTATGGATGTATCCAAATCAGGTATGAATAGCATATCCTTCCACCCATTTAAGTATACATTCCCGGTTTATATTTTTGAAATGGGTTAAAGGGTTTTCTCTTTTTTTTCCAACCGACGACCTCATTAATTTTGATTTCATGTCCCCCAGCCGGTCCAGTGTTGTATATAATGGACTAATGGACAAATTTGTCATTGTTGGTTGTTTCACAAAAAAAACCACTCGCGAATTGAATTGAATTGAATGAAAATTCGATTGTTACCCGAAAAAAATGGCAAAAATGTCCATTGTTTGTATGTATGTGTGTGTGTGTGTGACATGTCTATGAATGGCCTTCAATTAATGTGGTTTTGGGTTGAATTTAGGAGTGTTAACCATCACCACCACTACTACTACTTGGGTCTGGTCAACAAATTTGTATCACACAAACACATTGTGTTAATTAGATGAAACTAGAAGATTTTTAAATTTTTTTCCCATAATAGACTGGTCTTTTTGATACTAAAGGAAAAAAATAAGATGCATATTCCATAGCTAGTTGAAATAGTTACCAGGCTTGGTTTAATTAAAATGTCGATTCAACATTGATCTAAATTGCTCTCACCGGGATATGTGATAGTCTAAATCTCCCCCTCTCTCCCTTTGGGTTTAACTATTTTATTTGTCATAAACTTTATATAAAAAAAAGATCCAAAATTTACAGGCGCTAATTTTTCCCAGCTAACCTAAACCGTTTGTATTCAATTTTCACATTTTGTCATCGATTTCCTGGTCGTTGTTGTTGTTTTCATCCAAATCAATTTTGAATTTAATTGATTGATTAAATTTTCATATCGCTTCAAGGTAATTCAATGTTGTTGGATTGAAAACAAAAAAAAATGTTGCCTAATTACTATCGATTATAATGCATTGCATGTGTAGTTCACAGTGCAAATGTAAAAATTGCGTTTTTTATCTCTTTCTCTACCTACTATCTTTTTGCATGTCAATTTGATTATTTTTGGCTGATTTGTGTTTGAATGGTGGTTTTTTGGTGTTTATATATAAGGGGGTGATGATGGTGGTGTTGGTTGTAATTTTATCATCATCATTATGGGTTTTTATGTCAAACTGAATGTCGTTGTTTTTTTCTTTTTGCTAATAATTATGATGATGATGATGACAAATATGCATCAAAGAAGAGAGATAATGTCAAATACCGGTCACGCAAATTCATAAACTAGCCACATTTTCATTCATTTGTTTTTCATTTGCTAAGGTTCATTGAGATGAGGTTGGTGTGTTCCATAAAATGAATAGAAAAAAATCATCATTTTTTCTAAATAATGTCCACATGATTCGATAATGGTTTTTATATATCGGTTGGATATATGATCCAAAAAAAATTGAACTGATATAGATCTGATATGTATGTATGTGTGTGTGTTTGACCATTTGTGTCCATTTTGATATAGGCGGTGGCACATAGCTGTTGGCTACTGTATGTATGTATTGTGTTTAAATGACTTTATGCCAGGCATCATCATCATCATCATCATCTTCTTCCTTTTCGTACTGTTTTTTTTTCTGTTTTGTGAAAATAAATAGGTCTATAACAAAAACATTTTTTTTCGGCTATCCATAAATGAGACCATCTGCTATGTGTGTAGAAATAACATGACCATTTTAGAGTGAAAACGAGAGAGATAGCAAGAGATTCGTATAAACTCATAAACTTTATGCCAAATAGGATGTGTGTGTGTGTGTGTGTATGAAGGAGAGAGAGAGAAGGAAAAAGACAATGAGATGTAGTGAAAAAGTGACGAATTTTTTTTCAAAATGAAATGAATGATAGTGTGTGTGTGTGTGTGTGTGTGAAATGATGTGAATGTTTGTCATTTTCAAGACACACACAATATTTTTTTTCTCTCTATTGATTGAATAAATATATTTTGGTCAGAAATGAAAATAGTGGCGTGAATACATCATTTTTACCAACACATACAGATGTAACTTGAATATTATTATTATTATTATTAGAGTCTATATCCATTTGTGGGGATAATGATGATGATGACTACATAATTTGTCTACGCACACAACACGTGCCACACATGCAAAACTTGGCTTTGATCTGATTGTTTAGCAGAAGGTAGTTGTGTTTGTGTGTTTCATTTGATAGTTTGTATCTTGATTTGAAAATAATTTTGGGATGGTGTTTCAATTGATTTCTGGGAATTTTACCAAATGTTTTGCCATTTTTTCATTTGATCACAAATTTAGATTGAGAACACTGAATTTTGAAATTTTCTATCTAAATTTTTATTCATTTGGATCGATTGAATGGGCAAAAAAGACTTTTGTTGTTTGTTTGATTTTTTTTTTGAATGATTTTTTGATTGTCCGAAAATAATGTTTAATTTTCGTTTCTGTTTTCAGAATTCAATTGAATAATTGTCGATATATGACTATTACCATTGCTATTGCCTCCTTAATGGCTAGTAGTGCTGCTGCTGCTGTATGTTACTAATTCACTTTTTTTTCAGATGATCGTATATTTCTTATATGGTTAGTTGTGAATGAGAAATTGAACATATACCACACATATATATAAAAGAGTGAATAAAAGAAAGATAGGCGAGTCCATCCATTGGAAAATACAAATACACAATGGCATAGACATATACACACCATGGTAATGTCATGCCATTTACCAGAAAAACAATTTTTTCCATTTTCAGTTTCTTATATCCATCGATTGTATGTTTTTTTTCTCTCGTTGTTATTTAGTGTGTGCATATAGAAGAGACGGATTTCTTTTTTTTTTCTCTCGTTGTTGTTAAATAATAATTCCAAATGATGGCTTATACACATGATATATGTGTGAGAATAATAAGTGGATTTCTATATTATTACAATGATGATTGAATGATGTGATTGGTTTTGATTTGATTTGATTTGATTTTTTTTTTTTTTGGTTTTATTTTTGTCTTTATTGAAATGATAGTGGCCAAGAGTTTGTAATTAAAATTTTTTTCCGTTTTTTTTTTGTTTTATTTTTTTGATTTTCAATGTTTGATCATGAAAAAAAAATTTATTTATTTACACAGTATAGTTTAGTAGAGTAGAGTAGTTCCAATTTCATTTCAACGACAATTTTAGCAGCAGCATCATCAGCCACAGCAGCTGTAGTATAGTCAACCAAACTCTATTGGGTGTTGGCATTCTGGAATTCTTTTGTCAAATATTCCCACCATCCAACTATTGGCCATCATACATAACATACAACAATCTGCATTTTGTGTTCCATCTTGTCTTTCTTATTCCATCTCTATCTATCTAGGTTTTTTTTCGTTTGGTTGGTTTGTCTACTTCTATATAACACACGAATGCAGTCAAAAAAAAAGATATAGTGATAGAGAGAGAGAGAGAGAAAAAAAAAATAATTCCCAATTCTGATTCTGTGTCTTTCTGAGAAAAATTCTTAAAATACTGTACACACATTAGGGGGAATGGATAATAATAATAATAATAATAATGATGATGATGATGATGAGGAGAATTTGGTGTTTGAGGGGGTGCTCAGAACAAAGAATTCATAGAATAAAAATTTATAGAGAGAACCTTAAGATAAGTGGCGTGTATATGGTTTCGTTGTTTGAGCTGTATATATGGTGTTTGTTTGTTTGTGTGTGACAATCGACTCTCATTTATTTGAAAAGAACCAAACGAAAATCGAGTGAATTGAGCCAAAAAAAAGTTTCAAATGAATATAGAAAAAGAGTGAGAGAGAGAGAGAATCATTGGAAGACAAATCGATTTGACAACAACGCAACACAACACCAAGTGCCAAGCTAAAACTGTTCGTCCATTGTAGAATATTGAAGAATTTCAAGAAAAAAAAAAGACGAAAAACTTTGCCTTGAATCATTATCATCATCATCATCATCATCATGATTGAATGGAGAAAAAATGTTTTTTTAGAGAATCGGGTGGTTTTAGTTCCAGGAGTGAATGAGTGATGATGATGATGAACAAACATGGATAATAAGATTTTCAGTTTTTTGTTTAAAAGTTGAATAGAAAAAAAGTTTTTTTTTCAATAGAAAAATAATAATTCAATATAAACACTTCAATTATTTGATGGGAAGTTTTGTTTTTCGTATATTCTCTTTCTCTCGAATGGGGTTTGGTTGTGTGTTGCTAATTATTATTTTTGTTTTTTTGTTCACTGCCTGCCTGCCTGACTGTTTTTGTTTGTTCCAAGGCTGTAATCAAAAATTTGGATCGATCAATCGAGTAGTTTTTTAGCAGTATAGTGTAGGTTGATTCTTAAATAGGCTGTTATCTTGAGAATGTTTTGTATTTTGGTAAAAAAATTTGATTTAATTTAATTTTAAAAATCATTTCAAGTTAATTATAATAATTGGATTTAATTTTCTGTTTTGTAATTTGTTCATTTGTTTTGTATATCATGTCGTCATCGTTTATGTAATTGCAATTTTTTCCACTTAATTTACTCTTTTTATGTAATAAAAATAAATTTCAATCAATAATCAACATGATGATTATATCAGATTATTATTATGAATTCATTTACCATGATGATTATGATGATGATGATAGTGGGCCTTTTCTGCTCATTCGCTCTTTTTGTGTGTATGTATGAGTGTCTGCCTCATCCTTTTTGTTAATATTTGTACATCATAATACTATATCTGCCAATGCTATATATATAACATTCATTTTATTCTGGAAACATTCTGTATAGTTATATAATTCTTTCCGATTGGTATGATGTTATTGTTGTTGGATTTTAGACATTGTCATCATTACACACAGTAGTGGCTTGTTTTGTTTGTTTGTTAGTTAGTTAGTTAGTTGTTGTTGTTGTCTTGGTTGCATCCATCCATAGAATTTTCGATTTGTTGTTGTTATGGATGAATTTTAGATTCTTTTTTTGTCTTTTATTTTTTTTTTCTTTGTAGCTTAGGATCCGAAATAGTAATTGAACAATTGAAATTGAAATTCATATTGAAACAATAGCAACAACAACGACAGATGTGTTAACAAAAAAAAATAGAAAATCACTAAGGGAAATCTGACATATTTGAGGATTGGTCTCAATGGATTTCAATCTTAAGTCTAAATGTTTGAGTTGAACGAAAAAAGTAAATAAATAAGGTGATGAAATATGATGATGAATCCCGTTTGGCTTGATTTTGATTGAAATTTTTTTTTGTGTTGATAAGAAAAACAATGGTGACATTTTCCTTTATTTGTGAAAAAAGAGAATTTTTAAAATAGTTGATTTGAATTCAAAGTTTTTTAGTTTGTTCTGTTGTGTTGGTTAAATCGATTTGTAAATTGAAATTTTTATGCAAAAAAAGAGAGAAAACTTTCTGATTTAATGTCCTATGTAAGCAATAATCGGACAAAAAAAAGTTGTATACAGAATCGACAATTGAAATTTTGGAATAATTAAAAATAATTGTGGAATTTGCTGGACAACAACAACAACAAAAAACAATCTTAATTTGCATAAAAAAAAAGTTTAAAATACCATCAATTTTCATCAGTGTGTAGACAGATAGAAAAAAAAATCCAATCTAAACAACACAATCATCGTGAACATGAATTGTTTTGCATTTTAGTTGTATTTATATATTCTTTCAAAGAATGATGATTGTTCATTATTCGTGTTTTCCATTCACATAGCTAAAAATAAATACGACAACAGCTGTTCTTTTTGTTGTTGTTGTTGTTCTGTCATTGTATTTGTGAATATTCTTGGTTTATATTTTTTGGTGATCCTTTTTTTTTACTCATTCGTTCAATCTCATGAGAATATATCAAAAAAGATCTAATGAAGTGATTTTTGTTTCATTTTTTTTTTGGTCTCATTTCAAACATATATGTTTTTTTCTGTTGGATCATTCATTGCCCATCAATTATCTACAACTTTCATCTCCTGGGCTTTGATTTTTACTTGTTTTTTCATCTGTTTTGGTTGTTTGTTTTAATTTCACTTTACTTTACTTTTATATTATCGTCATTATCATTTTGTTTTTTTTATTTGATTTTTTCTTTCTCTCTCTCTATCTCTGATCGTGTCTATGTCCATATCAAGTATTTTTTTTCATGATCTTCATTTTTTTTTTGCTATAGAAAATCAATATTTATCCTTACTCTATTTGCCCCCAAACACCAATGATGATGATGATGATGATGACTACCAATAATGAAATGGCCGAAAAATGTAAATTGTTGACCTCCTGCCGAACACACACACACACACACACATACACAAACACAAAAACCGCACGCAGCATACTGATATAGAAATGACTCTACCACCAATATAGAAAGGGCCTAGAAAAAAAAGTTTTGAGTTTAAGACGACAACAACAGCAACACAACAACAAGGATATCAAAATTACTAAATTTTTTGATTTCAAAACATTTCCATTGCATTTTGTATCGGTGTGTGTGTTTGTGCTATATTTACATCTAAATATTGATTTCATTTGAATTTTTTTTTTAAAGAATTGAAGTGTTTTGCAATTGTTCATCATCATCATTACTAAATTTTATTAGCAAAAAAAAATTTCTAAGAATGTGATCCGATAACAACATATATTAGTATATGATGATGACATCCAGATTGTCAAGTATGTTCACTCTCTCTACCATTATTATATATTATGAAGTTTGGTCATTTTTTTTCCATAACAAATTTTTAGTCATTTGGTTTTTTTTTATCATATGCTGTATCAGTAGTAGCAGTAGTAGTAGTAGTCAAATGCAAGAAATAATTTCCTTTTTAGATTTATATAATCAACATTGTAATTAACTGCATTTGAAAACAAATTTGAAAAAAAAATCCAATAGAAATCTTATCATATGTATGTTGGTGTGTATCTTGCCTATTTGTAAATGTTTTTGTTTTTGTTTTCATAATAAAAAAAAATATGGCTCAAATGACTGATGGATGGATGAATGAATGGGCAAAATCATGAATTGTTTCTTCTTTTTTTTTTTGTGCATTCATCACCATGATTTCTTGTCTTGATGTTTTATTTATTTTGCAATTAAAATTCTATATTCTGGCCAATTATCATTAATGGTTTATTTATTTTTTTGCGCAGAATCAAATTTTTTTTCGTTTGTTTGTTTTACGTTCATCATCATCATCATCATCATAATTGTTCCAAATGAAACAAAGACGAAAACAATAATAAGTGAATGCTTGTTATTATAGCAAACAAATATTCTTTTGGTGGATATCTACCTTTATGTATGTGCAAAGAGTTTTAACGTTTCTGGTTTTCTGTGGAAAATTATGTAGAAACTTTTTTTTGTTTCGGTTTTTACAAACTTTTTGGACCAAATTTTAGCCATTCATATGGATGAATGGATAGGCATGTTAGTCTATATTTTGGAAAATAATGATGAGAACTTTTTTTCTAGTATATATTCAGTTGATTATTGTTAACCGATGAGGAAAATAAAATGAAAACTTTTTTCTATGCTTCAACACTCCTCTTAGGCTGTATTTCTATGTAAATGATTTTGATTCTTAATCTTTTTATACTAAAAAAAATTAAATTTTGAAAAAGTTTGAAACAGAATGATTCACTAAGGATGATGATGATGATGGTCATTGATTGAAAACAATCAAATTGGTTGATTTAATGATACAATTCTTGTTAATTTTAGTTCCGATTAACAACTCAATATTGTACCAAAGAAAGGAAAATAATCGATACTATAATACGGTTGTTATTGTTGTTTTTATTGATGAAATGATTTTATTTTTCACAATCTCTCTCTGTCGTTTCCTTTCATAATAAAAACTATTTATAGAATGTATTTTTTCTCTGTCTCTGTGATATGTGTTGCAACGTGGAAGGAAATCGTTAAAAATTTATTGTGATTTTGTTTTTTTTCTCATCTTTGTGGTTTTGTTTTCTTTTCGAATTCGAATCCTCTGGTTTCTCACTCCCACGCATGATTTCAATGCCGAAATTCTTATCGTTATTGAATACGAAATAATTTTATTTTGTTTCATTTATTTATTTTTGTTTTTTTTACTATAGATATCGATTTTGATTCATATTGGGATGAAGAGGCCCGTAATCCGAATCGTAATCGTATTCGTATTGGCCGCCAATATCAGGCACAATGTCCATTACTTTTAAAATCAGGTATTTATTTATCTGTATAAATTTTGTGAATCTATATATATTATATTATTAATTTAATGTGAATATTTTTACAACAAAATAGGCGAAAATGATGGTCGTAAACTTGAAGAATTGGAAACATTAACATGGAATCCACATAATCAACTTGATAATAAACAATTAAATCAATATTTTGCCATTGCCAAATCGATTGGTTTATTTATACAGGCAATCGATACATGTCAAAAGGGCATTGATGAAAATGAATGTTTATTAGAGGAGAAATGTTCATTACGTCCATTTGAAATATTAGACAATGGAACGAAATGTGTATTGGAACCAAATAAACCACCTGAACGTAATGCTGCTGCTGCTGCTACTGTCAACATAAACAGCAGTAGTAGCAATACAACGACGAGTTTAACCAGTCAAAGTTCTATTAATAATAATTCCATAACATCCGGTAGTGGTGGTCATCATCATCATATTCCAATGACAATTACGACAAATAATGTGATAACATCAACTGCATCATCATCATCAACAACATTAACAAGTCCAGAAAAACAAAGTGTTACAACGAGACAACGATTACAGAAAGAAGTTCAACAATTACAGCAACAATTGAAGAATGAAATAAATGAATCTGATTCGACGACGACGATAACATCAACAACATTATCATTACCATCTTTAAGTTGCTCTAGTTTACAATCATCATCATCATCATTGAATACGAGGATACAAAAAATTGCTAAGGGTTTGGTAAGTGTATGAGTTTTTAATTGTTCAATTTTTAATCATTTTTCAATTTAACCCGTTAGCCTGCTTTCATTTTATCTCATCATCAAAATGGCGTGGCTGCTGGTACATGCAAGTTGTCATCCACATTGAATACATTAAATCCTAACGGTACTACGACTGCTGCTGCTGCTACGGAACAACCGACAACAGCCATCAATTTAGGCTCGACTGAACGTTATACAACAAAAACATTGGCTAAATTATTATTAGGCCGTTGGAATGATCTCGAAGCAAAAGTTTTTAATCAAGCTATAAAAGAATGTGGTAAAAATTTCAGTGCAATCAAAAAAGATTATCTACCATGGAAATCGGTACGATCAATAATTGAATTTTATTATCTATCATTGGATAAACAACGACAACAACTGAAACGTAATAATAATCGTCAACATAGTCATCATAATCATAGTAAAATGAATCGTGATCATCCATCTGATAATAATGGTAGAGATAGGGATAATAATAATTCGAATAATAATAATAACAGTAACAACAACAACAGCAACAATAATAACAACAGTAATAGCAATAATAATAATACAACCGGAAAACAATCATCACCGGAAAAGAAAACAACACAACGTCATCAGAAAAGTCATCATCATCAACAACAGCGTATTAATCATAAGCTAGAAAAACAATCGGATAATGATGAAGATTTTAATAATGGTGATGATATGAATTCCGAATCGGTAATTAATGAAGAAGATAAAATTAATATTGGTGGCAGTAGTGATAACGATGATCTAGAAGAACAAACGTTACGTGAAGAGCTTTTATCATTAGCCAAAGGTGTATTGGCAAAAAATGTACAAAGCAATGAAAGTGGTGGTAGTGGTGGTTCGGGTGACATTACGATTGATACAAATCTTATGGATTGTCCATTCACACCATCATCGCCATTACTCAATAATAAATTGATTAATAATAATTTATTGGGCGGAAATTGTAACAATAATCTCATAAATGGTAGTATTGGTGGTTCATTTTTATCTTCACCTGAAAGTCATATTATTACTGGTCAGGAAATTCGTCCAATCAAAGCTAAACCATTGTTTAATACAAATGAATCATTATTAAATGAGAATGGCTTATTGGATAATAATAATAATGATAATGGTAATGATAAAAAGAATCTTGGTTCATTGAATCTGTATCTACGTGGGGAATTGGTTGTACGATTAAATGCTAAACAACAGGAATCTGGTCAAAAATGGGTTGAATCAATGGCTGTATCACCATCACGACGTAAACATGGAATATTGGGCAATGATTTTCGATTGCAAAGCGGTAATAGTGGTCATTCTAATCGTATCAGTTTAAAACGTTCATATCGTGAAGATCAGGATGATCATTCATCAATAGGCGGTGGTGATATAACCGGTAGTGATGATGATGATTCAATAACATCGAATGAAAGTTCAAGTTTAGTTGCATCGTCACCATCATCATCATCGACAACAACATTGGGATCGAATTCAAATTCAACTAATACAACAACAACAACAACGACGACGACCAATAAAAAAGCACGTGTAAAATTGGATAATAATCCAGCAGCAGCAACATCAACAACGGCCAGATTGATTTCATCGTCGCCATCACCAAATTCATTATCATCAACATCATCATCAAATATTGGGCGTAATAAAAGTAATGATCATCATCAGAATGGTTCATCAAAACAATCATCATCAACAACTGCTGTTTCGAATCAACAAAATGATTTAATGACTGAATTAGATATTAAGAAAAAGTTATTTGAATATTATCAGCTAACCGGTATGAATAATGATGATATGCAAATGTTATTAGCTGCATCGATGATGTTTCAACAACAACAACAACAGCAACAAGTTGAACCACCAAAAGCACATTCAAATTTCAACAACAATAATAACTCTTCTCCATCACCAACAACAACAGCATTGAATAATAATAATTTGGAATATTATTCACCGATAAAAAATAAATCAATAACAAATGGTAGTAGCATGAATGGATTATTAAATAATGGTCCAGTTGATCTGACACGTAAATCATCACCATCGACTGTGAATAAACATCATCATCATCATCATTCCAATCATGAAAATCATAAAAATCGTAATAATCATCGATCACAATCACCAAGACAACAAAAATCGATAACCGGTAGTAATAGTAGTAGTAGTAATAGTGGTAGAAATCATGGATTATCACCACGTCATCAACAACAACATTCATCTGCTTCCGTATCCGCTGCTGCTTCATCAGCTGTATCATTAGCAATGGCATTAGCTGCTGCTGCTGCCAATAATACTGGTAGTAGTAGTGGAACAATCAATCCATTTTCATTACCAGCACCACCCCCACTTCCATCTCTACGTCAACCATCATCATCCACTTCCACATCTTCATCACCTTTGAAATCATCATCATCGATAAATCGAACGAAAATTCGTAATTCTACTACCGTCACCAACAACGCCACCACCATTGATTCTAACCAAAATGGTCCAATTCATCAGATGGCCAAATAAAATAAAATTCATAATTAATTGGTGATGATTATGATATTGTTGCACATCATATTTGCACGGATTCGTTTCACTCTTTCGAACTTATTTTTTGCCAATTTCTTTGAATGAATTATTATTATTTTATTCCTTTTTTCCTATGCATTGATTCTGTATTGTATCTGGCTTATTTCTTATTTTTTCAAAAATTTCATCGCTCTGTTCATATGATGGTGTGTGATGAATTTATGTAATTGAATCATTATAATAATAAATTTCATATTTTATTCGATTGATGAATTTTATTTACTATATTTAAAAAAAAGAAAAAAAGAATTAAAATGAAACAAAAAAAAATTAAATTCCTGAGTTAACAAATTAAGTAAAAGTTCTGCCATCTGTTGTCGTTATTATGAGATGTAATTTTTATTTTTTTTTTCAAATATTAACATTGATGATGATGATATAAATAATGTTCGTTATATCAGTATATTGTTCATCTCTTAATCAATCTTTGTCAATCGTTTCAATGGAAAAAAACATGAACTTTTTTTGATTTTTGATAATGATAATAATCAATGGTCAATAATGGAACTTGATAATCAAGTTTTCATTAATGCATATTATTATTATTAATTAATTATTTTCATTTTTATCATCATCATGATCATCATCATCGCTGATTTTGTACTTCAAATATAAACAATTTATTCTTTATTCAATGGTGGCAACTGTCTTTCTTCATCCATTTGTTGTATTGCTATTTTCATCCAAACAATTTTATGAAATACATTTTTTCATTGATGTTTGATAACGATATGGCGTTGTTGTTGATGATTACATTGAATAATAATAAATTATTTATGCTCATCATCATCGCCGTACTTGTAACTAATATTTGGTCAGAGATGAAACCAAAAAAAAATGTGAAATTAGATAATCAATCTAATGAAATGATGTTTTTGATTCTGCTTCTGGTATATTTTTCAATGGATGCTAAGAAAAAAAAAGACGATAAATAAAATATTACAATTTGGTCGAAAAAAACCCCAAAATGATCGGAAGGAATGGAAAAAATCCAACATCTTCATACATACGTACTATATGAATTTGTATATTTTTGTATAGCGGCTTTTACAACAAACGAACGTACACAATACACATGTACGTTTACAACTTCCTCAATAATTTTATGATGAAAAACAATCATCACTTTTCCATACCACTACCCAATAAATTTTATGAATGCATTATAAAAAACTATGACTATTAACCAAAGTGGAGAAAGAAGAGGAGGAAAATGACAATTTCTTTGTTAACTTTTTTTTCTTTCTCACTCACTTTTTTTTTGCGTGTTAATGATAAGAATCGATTTCGTTATATTTGTTATTAGCAGTGTAGTAGTAGTGGTTCATCAATATCATCATGAACAGTTGTTCTGAATATTATTTTCATCATATAATAGTACTACTACCACAATCACTATAGTTTTGTTCACAATTAATATAAACACACAAACACATCGAGGGTGAGAGAGAGAGAGAGAGAGATGTCCAAGAATTGGTTTCATTGTCTTTTGTCTTATATACGTTGTGTTTATGTGTAAAATTGAATGTTTTTCATCACCACCACCACATCCTCCTCTTACTCCCCTAAAAGTCTTCGTTGCTCATCACTCCAGAATCTTTTATCATCATCATCATCATCATCACCGTTTGTCGAGTTCGTTTGATGCTGGTTGTTCGTCGTCGTCGTCGTTGTTATTTGTCTATGGCTGTCATGTCTTAGTTTTTCTACTTATTCAACAACAATCAATGTGTGTGTGTGTGTTTCTGGTTTTTTTTTGATTTCTAGCAACAACAAAAGCTGAATATTTTTTTCAAGAATATAAGAATCTTAAACATTTTCGGAACGAGGCCCTTTTTGGTCAGCTGAGTTTTTTTTATACCATGATAAAAGAAGGGCTTTTGGTGATTGATTGAATGAATGAATGAAATTGACCGGTCCATTGTATCCACGCCGTTTTATATTCAACTATTTTAACGAATTTTCAAATTATAGACTTGTGTGTGTTCGAGTGCTAGTTTGCAGGTCATGTGTACACATTTCGTGTTTCGTGTTATAATCATATAATTGATACCTGGCTCATATAAGGTCAAAGTACATGTGCCGTTTTTTTTTTGGTTTCGTTTTGTTTTGTTCAAAACCGGCAACAACATAGGTCGCGCTTAATTCGTGTATTGTATCATTATCAAAAATAAAATGCGAACAAATGGTCAAATCGAATGAATTGTTAATCAACACCCCCAGTGGTAATTATTTTTTTCTAAGATACAATTAGATCATAATTTTGAATTAATTCAATTGTTTTTTTACAATTCTAGAAATGTGGATTCTGTAGAATTATCCATACATTATTGATTACGGTATATCAGATCGAAGAATTGAATTTGAAAATAAATAAATGAATAAAATGGCAACAGCATTGACCAGTAATTATCTGTCCAGTTCACCATCGAATCAATCATCAAATTCGTATCAGAATTCAACAACAACAACAACATCATCGTCAGCTAATGGTTATCAACAACATGCCCAGAATTTTAGTAATAATTCTATAGCAAATATTAATAGTAATAATAATTCAACAACGACAACCACATCCAATAGTGGTCAACAACAGCAACATTCATCAAATACATCACACATTAATCATCTATCGTCATCATCATCTGCAACACAATCATCATCATCACCAAATCTTTATCGCGTTGGAGGTAAGAACAATTTGAATAAAATTTGATAATACCAAAAACAGCAGAAGAATGATTGCAGATTTTATCGATTCAAGCGATAATTATATAATTATTATATGTAAAGAAAATTCATTTTGTTGTATATTTAAAATGATAAAACCTAAAAATATTTCTTATTCTTATCTTGTATATTGTTAATGTGATAAAAATCGATTGTACCGAATTTGTTTGTACCAAAATAGATAATCAATAATCGATCAATTTATATTTATGATTATGATAATTTGTATGTGATAATTTCTAGTATTCGAAATTTATTTTAATTTCATTTCACACTTTTTCCATTCACAAATTTACATCCCATTTTTTTGGATAATAGGTGATGGTTTTTTTTTTGGTGGCCACCATCATCTACTACTACCACCACAATCACCATTCGACAACTACAAGCAGCATAATAGCCGCCATTACTCTAATTAGTCTTTCGATGAGAACGAGAGGAGAATAATTTTTTTTTTGTAGGTTTAGTGTGTATATGAGGGTGGAAGAAAGATAGATAGAGCAAGAGTCATTACCATTACCATTGTATTAAAGCTCACATACACACACACACATGAACACAAATATATTGCTCAAACACAAAAATTAAAAACAAAACACAAGATGCATACAAACAACCAATTCTAATTCTAACTAACTAAAACTCTAGAACTAAAATTAATCAGAAACACTAAAAATGAATGAAAATAATAATCAGGTAGAATGAAATGAATTCGATTCTTTGGTTGTTTTTTTTCTTTGTTTGGAACATATTTGTTCCATCAATAATGATGATGGCAGAGATGTGAAAATAATTCACGAGTGGGGGAGAAAAAGACGGGGAAAAGGTGGAAATTCTTAGAATAGAATCAAAGATTATTTGAAAATTAAAATTCAATGGAAATGTTTTTTTTCCTGGATGAAATTCCGGATTTTTTTTCTATCATCATTCTTGTATTCCCCTCACCATTGTTTCTTGTTCTTGTACGATGTGTTTGGCTATCATCCATAGCACAAACAAAAAATCCAAAGGTCAATATGTGATGTCTTTTTGTGTATGTTGATTGAACAATCAATAAATATTGAAATTACCTTGAATTTTTTTTTCTTTGCACAATTATAATTTGTTTTATTGAATTGTTTGGACAATTTTTTTTCATTGATTTTAATTTGAAATTTTTTTTCTCTTTTTTCCTGTTTATTCGTTGTTTTTCTTTTTCACTTTCTAATCAACAGACTATGTCTACATCGAGATTACGCCTTCAACACCGTATCAGGTTTGCAAAATTGAAGAATTGATCAAGGTAAGTGACAATATTACAATTTTGGTCTAAGCATTCAATCAAATGAATTCATTCAATAGAATCAGAATGGAAATCCTGAAGTAAAAATGGTCATCTTTTATCGTCGTCGTGACATGTCCGGATCATTGTTTCAGCAGATTGAAAAACAACAAATAAGTAAGTTTGTGTTTTGAATAAAATCTAAAAATGTTATTATGTTTTAAATTTGGTAAAAAACTAAAATACCATTCACCATATATTGCTGTTTGCTTTTCTTAAGTTTAATGAACTCTGTCCTTTTTTTTCTAGTTAATTGATAATTGATATTTGAATGATTGATAATTGACATTTCAAAATTTAATTAATGGAATTTTTATATTTGTTTGTTTCTTTTCTCATCATCATCATCGACGACTACAACAAAAAAAAAAAAATAAAAATAGGTGCCTTAGAAGAGGAACAGGAAAAAGAATATGAACAATTAAGTGAAAAAGAAAAACATCAGATAAAATTAAGGGAAATATTTTTGTCAAGACAATTGGAAACATATCCGGTTAGCAGTATTCGTGGAAAATGTCAGGTTACATTATTAAGTGAAGCTGAATCATTGACACATTATCTAAAAAGAGAGGATACATTTTTCTACACACAAGTATATGATCCAGAACAGAAAACCTTATCCGAAGCTGATCGTGGTGAAATACGTGTTGGACAAAGATATCAAGCCGATGTACCTACACAAACATTGGATGATCCAATCGTACAGGATCAACGTCGTCTTGAAGATCTTGAAACATTAATATTTACACCGGAAAATGAACTGAATGAACAACAAATTGAACAATATTTGACTGTAGCCAAATCTATTGGTACATATGCACGTGCATTAGATTGTTCTGGTAGTGTTAAACAGCCAAGTTTATTGATGAGTGCTGCATCTGCATCACGTGATGTTACCATACAATATGCAATGGATATATTACATGAATGTCATTATGATATTGCTAAAGCCGTTTGTCGTCTAGTCCCAAAAAGTGGACCTGTTCTTTGTCGTGATGAAATGGAAGAATGGTCTACGGCCGAAACAAGCCTATTCGATGAAGCTATCGATAAATTTGAGAAAAGGTTTGATGATATTCAACAAAATTTTGTAAGTATATCAATCATTGATCTGTGTTTTGATTGATCATTTAAAAAATAATTAATGACTTTTATTGATTTAAATATCCAGTTACCTTGGAAAAGCATGAAAAATTTGATTGAATATTATTATTTTTGGAAAACAACCGATCGTTATGTACAACGTAAACGTGTGAAAGCGGCCGAAAATGAAAGTAAATTGAAACAGGTTTTCGTACCAAATTAGTAAGTGATTAATAAAAAAAAAAAATCACCCATGTGAATTTGAAAAATATTCTTAATTTTTTTTAGTAATAAACAAAATCCATCATCATCGTTGAATGGTCTAATGAATGATTCTAATGTCAATAAACAATGTGAAAGTTGCAAAAGTAAGTTGATTTTAAAAATGTAATGAATTTTTTTTTAATGATGAAATCTTCATATTCAAGAAACATCATCAAGCAATTGGCATGTATGGGGACCAACAAATCTGCAATATTTTCTTTGTCAAACATGTTGGACATTTTGGCGAAAATTTGGTGCATTTAAATATCCAAATCGTATTGCTGGTATGAATCAAAATTTTGTTGATTAATGAATTATGTATTAGGATCATGTCTTTGTTATTTTTTTTCATAGATCTGACCGCTGAAAAGCTACAAGTGTCCTCGAATCTTTCAGCAGCAGCCGCAGCAACAACAGGGACGTCAAACAATCAATCAATTACTAATAATAATATTGTACGAGCCTCACCAATCGTTAATGATCTCAATTCACCATATTCTTGTCGTGAATGTAATAAAGTTTTTTCTAGACAAGGTAAGCTTTATTTGTTGATTGAATGAGAATTTGATTTATTTTTTTTCCTTTTTTTCGGATTTCATGATCTCCAGAACGCCTTATTTCTCATATGGCATCACATCGACAGCTACATAAATGTAATGTTACAACATGTGGTAAAGAATTTAAATTTAAAGCACATCTAGCACGACATTGCGCCACTAGTCATGGCGTAGCGATACGTTCGGGCAGTCCAAGGCCAATAATGAAAACACGTGCAGCATTCATATTCAAAGTGGTACCATCATTACGTATGGCTCGAAGTATATGTGCCGATATTCTTAACCTAAGACGTGCAGCACGTAAACCATTTTCATTGAATATTCCATTATTCAAACATGAATGTATGTTTGCGATTGATATTTTTTTCAAACAAAAAAAAAAATTTTAATTTGATTGTTTATTTACACATTAATTATATTTAGATAATGAACGTTATCAAAAAGGTTTTAACAAACATTCACCTAAACTAAAAAAGATTGATCGTGGAAAAGTGGTCGATATATCACATCGATTAGGTACACCTAAAATGCCTAAACCAGAATGGTTAATTGCATTACCTAAAGATAAATTACCACAACCGGAACGATTAGCATTTCCACCAACAATCAAATCCGAAGGTAAATTAGCGAGTTTTTTTTATTGAATTGGAAAGTCTAATTTCATCTCAATTTGTTGTTGTTTTTTTTCCATATTGTTGAAATTAGAATTTGAACCCGAAGATATGAGCGATCATAATAAAGATTCATGTGGTAACAATAATGATGTTGTTGGCGGTTGCGGTAAAAAACGTCCACTTGAACAAAATGGTAAATTTTTATATTTTTCATTTGTCATTTTTAATTATATAATTTAATTTATTTTTTAGGAAATTTTGTACCATCAAAACGTCGTCAAATGGCACCACCAAGTATATTGGGAAAATCTGTACCCGATCTATATGAAAACATATCAAGAAATTCGGTTACAGCACAATCATTGAATGGACGGGCAAAAATTGCCACAATAACTAATTTGAGTGGTAAAAAACAAATGATCAGCTGGGTTGATGCACCTGAAGATGTATATTTTGTATCGACGAAAAAAATCAAGTAAGTTTAATATGGTTATTCATAAATTATATATGATATATTCTTATTAATCATCATGTTTTCGATATAGACAAATGAGACGAAAAGTTCCATTAGCTGAATTACTTCGTTCTGCTCGACAACCTTATAAACTTCATTCAGAATATTTATCATCATTGATTGCAAACTTATCATCTACAACAACATCGGCCGCTTCAGGTGGTGATGGCGGTAATCAACCATCTCAAGTGATACCAAATCCTAGTGGATCATCATCATCCCGTTCAGGTGATAATAGTGGTGGTCGTAGTGGTGGCCATCATCAATCGTCATCATCATCAACGGCCGCAGCAATGATTCCATCATCAACAACGAATCTAAATTTGGTACATAATAATCCAGCGGCAGCAGCTGCTGCTGCTGCAGCCGCAGCATTAAATCTAGCTGGAATCAATCCACTTTCTGCATCATCATCATCGCCATCATCACAACAAATGGCTGCATTATTACAGCAACAAATGTTGGCACAGAATCTGCCATTATTAGGTGCAGCGGCCAATGCCAATCATCTGGTATCACCGAATGCATTTTTCAATAATATATCACCAACAAACGGTGGTAATTCTGGTGGTGGTGGCAAAATGAACCGATAAACCGAAATTTGATCATTATATTTCAACAAGCAAAACAAAACACAAAAAGAGAGCAGCCGAAACAAAATTTGTTTTCAACTTTTTTTTCCTTTTTATTTTACTTTATTTTATTTTTCGTTGTGATATTTTCTCGCTCTTTTTATTGAAATTTTTAATTTTTTTTTTCGTAAACACACCACAGACACAACATTCATTCAAAAAAAGGCCGAACAAATCAAATTTAATTTCTCTTTTAACCTTTGTTTTAATCATGATTTTTTATTCTATTGGATGATCAAAAAAAAAAAAAAAAAATTATTGGTCGTTTCGCGTATTTCCACATCATCATCATCATATATTCTATATAAATCCCAAACACACCTTCCACACACATCACATTTAATAGGAAATTTATTCATTGAATTATTTTATAATGATGCTAATTATTATTCTTATTATTACAAATCATACATACCAGATATTCACATTTGTAACATAATATTTTTCTTAACCTTTTCTTTGCATTGATGCACATATATGATACACAAACACACACACACACACTCGTATCCATCCAAAAATCAATACGACATACATCCAAAAAAAAAGATGCCCGCCACCCATTTTAATTCTTTGTCTTTGTGTATCCATTTTCAATTATTATTAAATACATTTATTATGCTCATAATTACAAATTTTCAATTGACTACTGAATGATGATAGTAATAATTTACATTTACATATAAATTTAAAATTGTATTTTTAAAAAAAAACGGCTGCATTTTTTTCTTTTGAATGTTTATTTTGTGTGTAAGGTGTGGGCGTGGGAATAATCGAAAATCGAAATATTTTTCATTTTTTCTTTGATTTTTTTTCTTGTTGTTTGATCTGGACGACCACGATGAAGACGTAAAGAAGAAAAAAAAAATGCCTGGCCATCATCGTCGCATTTGTTGATTGATTGATTGATTGATCGGTATCCTGGAAACATAGATCTTGTTTTTTTTCATATATTTGTTGTTTGCCATATGCAAACATCAATGTTGAAAGCAAAAATTAGTTCATCGAATCAAAGTAAAAAAAAATACGAAAAATTATGTCAAACAAAATTGATTTTAATTGGCCTTAGAATACAATATTTTCAATTTATGATTACATTGCATTGATGAAAAATTATTAATGAGACATCCGGTCGGTCTGATGATGTTTATAAAATAATCGATTCGATATTCGATCAACATTTGAACATTTTCATTTGGCTTATCATTCATTATCGATCTCGAAAAATATTGTTCGTTGCATTTTTTCAAGATTTTCATCGTTTTTTTTTACTCTAGTTTTGTTTGTTTTTTTCTATAGAGAGTCGTTTCATTTTTTTTTTTACTATTTTTATTTGTTTGTTTGTTTGTTTTGTCAATCAATATTTGATTTTATAATTGGGCAAATATTTTATTCCATCATTTACTCACATATAGTGTTTTTTTGAGATTCGACTGTTCGGTTCGATTCGATTCGATTGGTGGTTAGGGTCACCATCGCAACCAACAATCAACCAACCATCATGGCCAAGAAAAAACGAAACAAAAAATCTTAAAGAGAAAGGAAAAGTCGACTCGTGAAATGATCATTTGTAGTGAAGAAATGGATCGATTCAAATCGAAATTGTTATCATCATCATCGTCGTCGTCGTCGTCGTCAATAATGAGAAAAACAAAGTTTATTCGTTTTTTAATATTGGCTCTTTTTATTTCAAATTCACAACAATTATCCATCGATGAATTATATCCATTCGGTGAATCAGTGGATGAATCGTTGAATAAAGAAGCCGATACATTTGTTGAAATTAATCTTTCGATACCGATCGCTTATTTTCAGAATCAATTTCCATCTATTTTTGTTAATGATAATGGTCTTGTATCATTTCTTAAGGAAATACCCATCTATTATAATGCACAATTTCCATTACAATATCCATTCATTGCTGTTATGTATTCGAATGTTGATATACGTGGCCGTGGTGGTATTTATTACCGAGAGACAAAAGAATCATCATTATTAGATCGTGCTACACGTGATGTTCAACGTCATTTTAGTGATGGACGTAATTTTCGTGCACAAAGTTTATTTATAACAACATGGGAACAGGTTGGAAGATTTGAAAAACTATCCGATCTTGTAAGTGTGATCATTTGTTATAAATGCAAAATTTAAATTTGTTCTCCAAATCACTAATAACAGGCCAATACTGTCCAATTGGTAATCGCATCGAATGGTACGGATAGCTATGCATTCATATTATATCCAAATGATGGTATCCAATGGTTAACCGGTCATGATAATATTGAATATTCACAACATGCAATGACACAGGCTGGTTTTATGTCGAATGAAGGACGTTATTATATTATGCCAGGATCCGGTACAGAACAGGTGAAAAATTTTCCAAGGTAACTTTGTGTTTATACGAAAAAACGTAATTTTCACATATGATTAAAATTTTAATTAATGGTCAATTCAAAAATAGAATGTCAAATATAAATCGTCGAGGAATGTTTGCCTATCATATTGGCAATACTGGCTATGGAAATATCATACAACCTGATCGTGATTATGAAAATAATTTGGAATTACGAGAATTAGAAACCTGTAGTAATACACGATTTCCATGTGTACCATCGGCTGAATGTATTGAATATCCGACCGGTATTTGTTGTCGTTGTCGATCTGGTTATTTTGGTAATGGCCGAAATTGTTTACCAGAAAGTAAGTTGTTTTTCGATACATATTCTGATCTAATTTAATCAAAATTTTTAAAGATAAAAATATTCAGATTAATGGAAAAATAAGTGGTGAAATAAATAATATCAAACTTGGTGAATCAAATATGATACATTTCTATGTGGAAACCAAAGATGGTCGCGTATATTCAAGTGTCAATTCAATAATGCCGGATGTTGGTTATGATCTACAATCATTATTGATTGCATTGGGTCATATTTGTGGTTGGTTATTCGCTGTACGTACGGATAATTCACCAAATGGTTATGCAGTTACGGGCGGTATATTCAATCGCAGTGTGGATCTTGTATTTCAACAAACTGGACATCATGCAATCATTCGTGAACAATATCTTGGATTGGATGTATTCAATGTACTTGGTATTAAAGTTGATGTTCGTGGTACATTACCTACGATACCCGGTGGTACATCATTACATATGGATGATTATCAGCTAGAATTTACTAAAGTTTCACGTGGTGTACTTAAATCACGTATGACCGTATCGTTTAATTATGGACCAAATACATTGGATATGCCAATGACAATCGATCAAACCATAACGTTTGATGAATGTGTTAATGAACCACAAAACAACAATGATCAACAGCAACAACAACAACAGACAAGTCGATTGAATATTATACGTAATCATATTGAATATGATCAGGAAAATCAGGCCACTCGTTATGCATTCTATGAATCACGAATATCTCAATTATCTGATCAGAATCCATGTTCATCAATACAATGTGGCCAATATAGTACATGTATTGTTGAAGGTAATGATTATCGTTGCATTTGTAATCGTGGTTTCGAACAGATTTATCAGGAAAATGAATTGATCGATAATAAAAGACCATCATGTGTTGGTAAGTGTTTTATTTTGTTTTTCAATGATGATTTTGATTGATTTCCAATATTGTTGTTTAGATATCGATGAATGTCGTACTCGAACCCGTGTTTGTGATCTAAACGCAATGTGCATGAATGAATTGGGAAGTTTCCGTTGTCAATGTCTTGATGGCTATGTTGGTGATGGTTTCAGCTGTCGTCCATATGAATATCCTATCGAAAATGAATGTGATAATATTCAATGTGGTCCAAATTCAGAATGTTTACCAACGAAAAATCTTGGACCAAGATGTATATGTAAAGATGGTTATTACGGCGATGGTCTTAATTGTGAGCCATTACGCAATGATATCGAAGATTGTCGTACATTGAATATTTGCGATATGAATGCTGAATGTAAAGCCAATAGAATGCTTGGCCGTCATATGTGTATCTGTAAAGCTGGCTATCGTGGTGATGGGATTTACTGTACAGAAGAATCAGAATCTTGTGAAAAGCTAAATAATTGCGGCATCAATGCTGAATGTATATCGGATGAACAAAGTAATTATAATTATTATTGTTCATGTAATGAAGGTTACGTTGGTGATGGTTATACATGTATTGCCGAAATCAATTCCGATGATTGTAATATGTTGAATAATTGTCATCGTAATGCATTCTGTACATTGGATATGGAAACGAAAACATATCAATGTCAATGCAAACCTGGTTTCACTGGTGATGGATATAAATGTGTCAATTCATCGTTCGTAAGTCCATGTATTGGTATGGAAGGATGTTCACCTAATGCTGATTGTGTTTATGATTCATTGATGGGTACGAATGTTTGTCGTTGCCGTTCCGGTTTCGTTGGTAATGGTGTACAATGCAATCCAAGTAATATTTGCCATCCAAATGATAATAATTGTGATCCAAATGCACAATGTTTATTCAACGATATAACCATGAAACATGAATGTCAATGTAAGTTAGGATTCTATGGTGATGGTATTCGTTGTATGGTGGATGAAAATGTTGATTGTAGTGTGATCAATGATTGTGATCGTAATGCCACTTGTGTTATTGATCCACTAACATTAAGATATTATTGTAAATGTAATGCTGGATTTATTGGCGATGGAAAACAATGTAAGAAACATATCTCATGTAATCAATTGAATACTTGTGACGTGAAAGCTGAATGTATATTCGATACGGTGGAACAATCATATCGTTGCCATTGTTTAGCCGGTTTTGTTGGTGATGGTTATTCATGTCGTCCACTTCGTTCATGTCGTGATGATCGTTTTATTTGTGATCGAAATGCTGAATGTCTTTATAATGATCATAGCAGAGATTTTAGTTGCCATTGTCATTATGGTTTTATTGGTGATGGTTATCAATGTGCACCCGTGCCGAATATCGAAGGTGATTATATCCTGTTTGCGCAAGGAATGAGCGTATTACGTATGCCACTTGAATCAAATGAACAAACACGTGGATCACCATTGTATATACGTTCAGATCAAACAATTGTTGCCATAGATATTGATTGTCTAACTGGTTTCATTTATTGGAGTGATCTGGTTAAAGGAAATCTTTATAAAGCAACTAATAATGGATCATCAGCTGAAATTATCCTCGAAGGTTATACAACTGCACCAGAAGGTATAGCCATCGATTGGGTTAGTCGTAATATCTATTGGACGGATTCATTTAAAAGATCGATTGAAGTTGCCAATCTTGAAGGTACATTACAGAAAACATTAATCGATACAGATCTTCATAATCCTCGTGGTATTGTTGCACATCCTGGAACGGCTAAACTTTATTGGACTGATTGGAATCGTGAAACACCTAAAATTGAATATTCCGATCTGGATGGTAAACATCGTAATCTTTTGATCAATACAGAATTGAAATTACCAAATAATTTAGCCATCGATTATGATCGTGATGAATTATGTTGGACAGATGCTGGTCTTGAACGTATTGAATGTATCCATTTGATGAGTTTAATTCGTCGTGTCGTATATGCACAGGCAAGCTATCCATTTGATTTAACTGTTTCACATCAGAATATCTATTGGACTGATTGGAAAACGAAAACAATTCATGAAATTAACCGAAATGGTGGCGTAGCACGAACATTAGATATACCATTAGGTGGTTATGGTTCATTGTATGGATTGGTTGTTGTTCCACAACATTGTCCACGTATATCGAATGCATGTGCCGTTCGTAATGGTGGTTGTAAACATCTTTGTTTACCCAATGATCATGGACGATCATGTGTTTGTCCGGATAATGCCTATCATGAGGATGATATTTGTAATGAAATTTAATTTTCCAACACAAATCAATCAATCAATCAATCAATACTTTCACATCATCAAACATTTTATTCGAAATTTTCAATCATATAAACAAACAAAATTCAACAAAACATTTGAACAAAATGAAAAGAATATTTTTTTTTTACAATCATACATTAATTTTTTAATGACCATATAAATTTTTAATTTTTTTAAAAAGTTTATGTAAATGCAAATTCTGTGCAACTTTTTCTTTGATTTAATCAATCATTTGCCCACCTTACCAAGTGATGAATCCGTTTTTGGATTTGCCGTAACCGATTGAACCTGTACGATTGCATTGTTAATTTCGGTTTGTAATTCACGTACATCTTTGATGTAAAGCAAACGGATGACATTAGCACAACGATTAATGATCGAATCATATTCTGATTTTCTGGCAAATTTTCTATTTAAAATATTTTCATCAACTGTAGCCACCATTTTTTGTTTCTTATTACTATTATTGGTTTGTTCATTTTGGTTATTTTGATTTCTTGATGATTTTCGTAATTTACATAATAATATAGCGATAGCACGTAATGTAACCAATGGTTCTTCATCATAGAATGGTACATTCAATAACTGTGATAATGATCGTAATTCTTCAATAAATTCTAGTGAACTAATGTCCACGTTACCGAAATCAACACTACCAGAACCCTGAAGATCCAGATTAATCAGATCGGAAACATCTTCAGCCGACATTTGCATCTGTGTACGAATATCTTCCATTTCGTAACGTAATGCAAGATTTAGTAGGAAATCTAAAGCAATTTTTCGATCATCACGTGGTCCTTGATAATTGATTTCACTTAAATATTTATTATATGATTCATTCCAATTTTTTGAACCGGCTAACAAACAACTACGATCATTCGGTGGATAGAAACGAATCTTCATACTTTCAATCCAATATACAATGTTTTGGAATTCAGATTCATCTGAAAGAAAACAGAAAAAAAACAAACGGATTAAACAAAAAAAGGAAATGATTAAGAAGGCTTACCATCCACATTGACCGATGGTCTTTCATATTGTAATGACAACAATTTTCGTTCAAACATTATTTTCGTTTAGTGATGATAATATCTGATGATAATAAACCAAAAAATATATTATTCGAGATCCGAACAATGTGCATACAACACAACAATGTTGGAGTAGTAGTCGAAAATGGTGCCATCTAATGAATAAATGAATTAAATTGTTTTTAATTTACAACAATAGATGGCACGAGATTTAATTTATCCAATTTTCTTTTTGTTCGACATTCAATCATCACCATCAAAAGGATGATTTTTTTTTTTGTAAACAATGAAGAATAGCAAAAAAGAAAAAATTATGAAACATCAGCAAAAAAAAAATTTGGGATCAGTGAATTTATTCAACACTATATTTATGGTGTGTGTGTGTGGTTAAAGAAATGCCGAAAGAGATTATTGACATCCGACAAAAATAACAACAACAACAGCAACAACAACGACGACGATTCACCATTGAGAATACTGAGTTATGGGTATGTTAATGAGATTTATCATTATTGTTGTTCCAGAAAAAAAGTCGCCATTATTGCTATCCAGAAAAAAACCAATCCATTTCTTTTGAATCTGATCTGATACAAAACAATCCGATTTGATCAATGCATTTATTCTTTTTTGTTTTGTTTTGTTTCATTCATTTATTTGAATTCTATTATTATTATTATTGATGTTGGGCTCAAATTGAATCTGAAAATCCGGGAATTCTTTTGTCGGTATATTTGATTCTTGGGGATTTTTTCGATTTTTCTATATAAGTAAGAAAAATATGACGTTGAAAAAGGAATTCTCTTTTGTTCTTGCCATTTTTATTTGTGATTCGAGAATTTTCCATTTTTTTTGCCATTTATAAATGAATTTGAAACATTTGTTCAAGGCGCTTGTCTATATATTTTCGGTTTGTAGCAATCAAAAGTGAACTAATAAACTAGTGAGATAATTTCATTTCAGATTTCAACAAACAATCCAAAGACTGAAATGAACTTGTTCCGGTTGTTTTGAATTCTTGTTTTCTTCAACTTGCGAGGTGTTCATTACTGTGTGTGTGTGTAGGCTGGTATGAAAATCGGTAATCATTTTGTTGTCTACTGGAAATTTCCGGCCAAAAACCCATCATCATTGGTTACTGTGTTGCTAATGTTTTGTTCAAATTCACCAGAGTAGGCGAAACAACAACAAAAAAAAACATTGCCTTATCTTATGATGTCAGAGTTCATCATCATAACATTTACAATACCCGGCTTGTGTCTATTGTTTGGTCGATATGATGATGAATCCACATGATCATGAATGAAATCAATCATATTGATTCAATTTGATTACAACAACAACATCAACAACAACAACAACAATTTTTTATTTATCAACAAAAACGTTCCACCACCAACATTCACAAATATCACAAAAGATTCAACGATCCATATATGTGTGTGTGTGTGATTAACCCCATTATCATTATATTGTCACCATTATTATAGCCATATGTCATATGTGTGTATGTGGGGGTGGTAGTTTGTTTGTGTGTGTGTGTGTGTCTCTTTGTAAATATATATTAATTATGGATGATAATGTTGATGATCAATAATAATTTTTTTTTTCATTCTTTTTACACATTTTTATTCACTTTCAGATTCTTTATTCGTTATGTTTATTTATTTTTATTTGTTGTTTTCTTTTTCATCATCACTATGGTTGTGATGAAGGGGGGGATGAAAGCTTTTTTTTGTTTGCAAAAAATAGATTCCATTATCCTTAATGATGATGATGATGATGATAGGATGGCCATATATAGAATTATTATTATTAAAAATGTGGGTGGTGGGTGTTGGTGGATGAACTTGATGAATAACAGGACGGTTCGGCGAATGGTTGATGTCATCATCATCATCATCATCATCATTGTTCCAAACACCAAACAACAAACGATTGATGATGAAGAATTTTTCTTCTTTTTTTTTTGGTTCAATTTTATTTCAATGAAAAAAATTTGTTGTTTTTTTTTCCCATTATTATTGGCAACGAAAATATCTGAATATGAAATGTGTGGTGTGTAATAAAAAAAAATGGCGATAAATGTTTTCAATGAATTTTTATTCCCGATTCTTTTACGAAATAAAAAAAAATAAATAATTTTGTTTTGGAAATGTTTTCAAATGAAAAAGTTTTTCATTTTTTTTGTTTTGTTTTTGTTTTACAATTCTCATTTTGATCCTAAAAAATCTAAAATGATGATAATGACAACACAGAATCGCTGAATTCAGCGTTGTCATCAACAGTCACAATCATCATCATCATCATCAGAGAAATGAGATACAAAAAAAAAATTTCATTTGTTTCCTATTTCGATTGTTCCTTCACATACCACGACGATTGGTATATATTCCATGATCATCAACATCATTTTATCTTTAATTGACTTTTTTTTAAGTCATTAATTCTTATTGTTCAAGTTTTTTTATCGTCGTTGTTGTTGTTGTTGTCGATTTTTTGGTTATGATTCAAAAAAAAACTTTTTCTTTTAATAGTTTTGATGATGATGATGATTGTCATTTTGTTGTCATTTTTCTTCTGGTTTTTTGTTGTTGTTGTTGCTTTTATGGATTATCGTTTTGCTTTTTGCCTGTTATTGTTGGTGGGTTAGTGTTTGAAACATTTGTTCAGTTGTTTGTTTCCCATTTAAAAATGATCCATTATATATACTGGTCGTCATCAATATGTTCTCGGTATTCAACCATCCATTTTGAAAAATGGAACCAAAAAAAAAATTAAATTCGTTCCGGTCATTTTGTTTTGTTGCAGTTTTCTAATTTTGAAACAAGAATCACGTGCGTGTGTGTGTATGACCATCAAATTCTTGATAACGGCAAAATTAAGCACTTAGTTTGGATTCAAATTTAATGACACCATCTTGAAATTTAATTATTTTGTTTTCTGCTTATTTTTTTTTAATGAAATTTAGATTTTCTTTTCTTTTTTTTTCATTGCACAAAAATTCAATCTAAAAATGATTATGTCATCATAATGATTTAGTTCACCATCATTTCATTCTGTTAATGATGATGATGATGATTCATTTGGCTTCTGGATTTCCATATAACCGAACCAGTTAAAATGTAGACAAAGTGTTTCCGGCTTTCGGACACGGTTCCGGTTCTTTTCATTGGATTGTTATTTTGCTGTTTATTGTTCAAATGTCCGACATTTTTTTTGTTATTCACATATAAAATGTTATTACATAATTCAGAGGAAAGAGAAAGAAAGAAAAAAAACTAGATTCAATGTGTAAAAACAACTGGCCAATAAAATTGCTTGGTAGTGTGCGTAGTGTTTAGTACGTACATTTTAAATGATGACGATGACATGTATATGAGAGCAAAAACTAACGAACGAACGAACGAACGAATTAGAATGAATGAGAATTTTGAATTTCCAAAGAATTTTCAAAATCTCATTTTCACCATTCATTTTTAATGGATCTCACATTTTATATTATGAATATATAAAAAAAGTATTCACTTCAACAACAACAACAACAACACCAAAGATTCAAAATCGATCAATCGATTGATCCATGGATTGATTTTCAATACAAACAGTGGTTTCAATTTTCGTTGTCGTTGTTGTTGTTGTTGTTGGCGGTGGTGGTGGTGGTGTTGGTGGTGTTTTCAAATACGTCACATTGAATAAAGGCAATTTTCACACAAAAAAAAAAAATCTTTGGTTTTGAATATTTTACGACCACGTTTTATGTTTATGTCTGTGTGTGTGATGGGCATGAATTTGAAATTAGAATTTTTTTCCATTCTTACCAAACAAAATAGAAAAAAAAACGTACGCTTAATAAATAGTTTTATATTTTCATCTTCAATTCCATCCATTCTTTTTATCTTTATAGTGGTAGTAGTAGATTGATCCATTAATTTTTTTTCAATTTCAACAATTTGCTATGAATTTATAATTTTTCTTGGTTTTTTTCCAGATTTTTTTCGCTGTGAATTTCTTCATTTTTGCCAGATAGACGGCGGTTATCGAGTATTACACACACACACACACACACACACACACACACAAATATATAAATCCCGACAAACAGACAGACAGACAAACAAAAAAACAAACAGAAAAAAAAGACTAAACAGTCTCAAGTCCAGAAAAAAACAGAATCTTTTCAATAGTCCAAAGCTTTAGATTCTATGATGATGATGATGATGATGATGATGACTATGTTGTGGAAAAAAAGAAGAAAAAAAAATCAACGGATCATTTTTTTTTTGTCCATTTCCATCCTATTCATAATATTGATGATGATCTTAGAATTTATTCGTTTGTTCCAATTTTTCCACTATAATAAGAAATGAAACAAAAAAAAATATATTCTCAATGATGATGATATGAATAGGGTCAACGGAAAGAAAGAAAAAAAAATATTCTATAACCATAATAATAATGCCAAATCAAATATTTGTCCATAGGCTGCTGTTATACATACACTTTATTATCGTTCAAAGCATCACCATATTAATTTCATTTATTTTGCATTGCTTTTTTTTGTCATTTTTTTGTTGTTGTTGTTGTTGTTGTTGATTCCATCATCATCATCATCATCATCATCACAGTGTTATTATCATTTGTTCATTCATTGCATTTTTTTTCATAATTCATTTTCTTTTCTTTTTTTCTCTCGTTCACACTTACATATTTTTTTTTCATCAATGAATAAATGATGAAAATAGAAATGAATTCTAAATATATGAAAAGCCATATTCTGCTTTCACCTTTATTATTAACGCATATATTTGTTATCATTATGAATAAAATTCTGATGAATGTGAATGAATGTGGGATAAATATATTTATATATGTGTCAAATCTACATAATTCAAGTATTTTTTGTTTTGTTTGGCTGTTGTTTTTGCATTCACAATTCGATTCAATTCAAAATTTGATTCCACATTCTATTCTATGGATAGTACTCATCACATACAATAAATAGAATTTAGAATTAAAAAAAAACAACAAAGAAACAAGAAAGAAAAAAACATAAACAACAAAAGCAACACTGAAATGAAGATGCAATGTGATATCAAGATGAAAGATATTATGCA